CATGGATGATACTGCAGCTGCTCAAGGAGCAGGAGATAAGGGATCGCATCAAGAAGTGCTACATGCTATTTCCCACCGTGGAGCGCATGATGGAATCACCCAACGGCTGGCTATTCACCAAAGTTGTCATGCCACTTTATTCCGTTTTCGGTTACGTTTTCTTCAAACTGTTCAATTGGCTGCCTGTCTGGATACGCATCTTCCTTATACAAATATACTTCTTGATCTTTGCCATACCCAATCACTATATTGGCACCGCTCTCAAGTACACCAAACCATCGGTGGCGGAGAAGGTTGTGTTCCTGGCAGACGACGAAATGGGCCGTGTTCGCGGCTTGCAGCGTGATCTTGTCGAGGAGCATTTGCATCTGTTAAAGTTCTACTATGGCACCACAGACGGCTGGGTGCCGGTCTCCTACTACAATCAGCTCAAATTGGACTTTCCCCAAGTGGACGCACAGCTGGACAGCAAAGGCATCGCTCACGCATTCGTCTTGCGACATTCCAAGCCCATGGCAAGCATTGTTAGCAAAATGATACAGCAGAATTGAATCCCACATCCAGGTGGGCGCATTTAGCCAATTGTTGCCTAATCTTAATCTTTTAAGCGAATACTTGTAGACCACGATTAGTTTTTGGTAGAATGGAAAGTTATACAATGGACAAAATGGAATTTTAGGCCAGATGGTAATAGTGGTAATGAAGCATCGAATGCTCTAGTAAAATCTATTTACATTAGTTGATTTAATAAACAAACTGGTATAAAAGAAGTCCTCAGCTTATATTGTTCCAACAGATTTCATATTTTGCATTCTGCACGAGTTACATATAAGGGTTAACTTAACTTGAAGATTGATGAGCTGCTCAGTGTGGAGCTGCATCTGCGGCATGCACTTAATTACTAGCCGCTGACCCGGAACGAGATCGAGATCGGCTGCGCGATGGAGAACGCGAGCCGCTGCCGAGACGAGAACGCGAGCGCGACTTGGACTTGGAGTGGGTGCGCGAGCGCGAACGTGATCGGGACATTGATTTTGATTTGGACTTCGATTTGGATTTCGATCGTGTGCCCGAGCGCGAACGCGATCGGGATGCAGACTTCGAGCGTGAACGGGAGCCAGACTTGGAGCGAGAACGTGATCGTGAGCCCGAACGTGATCGTGATCTATCCGATTCGCCGCCAGACTCAATGCGATTTTTGGGTCGCTTGCGCTGTGCAACGCCATCGCTTTCGCTGCCACTGCGGCTCCTGCTGCGCTTTCGTCCATGATCGCTGCCACTTGCGCTGCCAGAACGGCTACCGCTCCTACTGCGACTGCGACTACCGCTCTTGCGGCTTCTGCTGCGGCTGCGGTCGCTGCCGCTGGCACTGCCTGAGCGGCTGCCACTGCGACTGCCGGATTTGCTACGGCTTCTGCTCCTGCTGCGACTGCGCTTGCCATCGCTCTCGGACTCGCTGGTCGATATTGTCTCCTTGGAGACAATTTTGAGACGCTGCTTGGCGGACAGCTTCTCCTTGGCTTCCTTGGCGTTCTTTTGCTGCTGCTTCTTTTTCTTCTGCTTTTTGTCGCCCCCGCCAGCAGATTCCTCTTCGCTGTCGCTCTCATACTTTTCGGCCTTGCGTTTGCGTCCGCTGCCCTTCTTGCGCTCAGCCTTGCTCTTCTTCTTGTTGGGCCGTTCGGCACCCTCGCGCGGAGCCCCATCACCGCTATCTGTGCCGGAGATGTAGTCATCCTTGCGCGGTCGTCCGCTGCCTTTCTTGCGTTCCTTTTCGGTTGGTGCGTCCGCTATGATCAGCAAATTCTTGGTCTTCTCCACGTATTCTTGTCGCTTGGCCAGCAGCTGATCTCGCGACGTTTTGGCTTCTTCCTCGCGTCGCTTGCGCTGCTCCTGCATCTTCAGCTTGAAGGCTTCGCGCTCCTCCTCTTGGCGGCGGCGCAGCGTGCGATCCTCCTCATCAATGCGACGCGCACGTCCCACGTGGTATTGCGCCTGCGACAAGAGATCCTGACAGGTGTTGGCCTCCACGCCGGCCACCTCGATATTAAAGCGCGTCTTGTCTCCATGCACGGACAGATATTGGAAATATCTAAATGGGGTACACATTGATATATTATAGTATTATTAAATTTGGAGCTACTCACTTGTGGGCCAACTCGAGTTCGTGCACCGCCTGCAGCACCACTTCCAGTGTTGACTTCTCATCCTTTAGTATGGCCATAGCTAGACGGGATAGCACTACAGCTATATTGAACAGCAGTACGGTGTCCTGAGGCGCGACACGACGCGCCTTGAGCAGCACAGCCTTGGCCTCCACCAGCTTATTGGCACGCAGATAGGCGCGTGCGAGGTACTGCATCACCTCGACATTGTTGTGTTTATAGAACTTCTTCATGCAATTCTCGTACATCTGTATGGCGCTGATGTACTGCTTCTGCTCGACGTAGACGTGGGCAATGTTTAGCCACACATCGCAAAAGTCGGCGGTGGCCTCGCGCACCTGGGCAAATATGTCGCGTGCCTCGATGACACAGCCCTTGTGGGCGAGCACGGCGCCGATGCCATTGGTGGCCCAAATATTGCGTGGATCCGTGCGCAATACCTGACACAAAAGAGTTTTTGAATAAGTTGAAGGTTCTGACTGGATTAATAACGCCTGCGCTTACCTGCTTGAAAATTGCCAGCGCCTTTTCCTGATGCTTGCGCTCCTTCTCCTTGTCACGGCTAGGCTGATGCAGTGTCTGCAGCGAGAAATTGCCCAACGCTATCAGCGAATAGGCATCCGAGGCAGTAGCCGGATTCTTAAGTATGGTCTCAAAGTTCTTTTGGCCCAGCGCGAATTGCATTTTGGCCAAATGCAAATTGCCAAGCAGCGATCTAGCATCCGGATTGTCGTTGTTTATATTGAGTGCATCCTTGAAGAAATCGGAGGCGACAAAGATCAGACCCTTATCACGTGCCATGCAGCCTAGTCGCAGATAGCAATCAATATAGTTGGGATGCTCCTTGAGTATCTCCTTGTATAGCTTGTCGGCCACATCAAAGCTGCTCATGGCCTCATTGAGGCGAGCCAGATTATATTTCATGGTGACCTGTATGGACTCGTAATACTTCACGTCCTTGTCCATCTCGGAGCTGGCATGCTTCAGCGCCGACTCCAGCGTGTCCTTGGCCAGTTTCAGATTGCCCAGACGATAATGCAGTGAGGCGACATTATTTTGTATCTCCGCTGGAATTTCGTATTTGGCCTTGTCACGCAAAATGCTCGAGGCAGTGCCATAGGCATTCAGCGAGGCCTGCAAATCATTTTGCTCCAATATCTGCGCCAACTCGATCCAGGCTTCTATGTCCTCGGGAAATTGCTCGGTGACCTTTTTAAGGTGTGTCTTGGCCATGTCACGCTTGGTCTGCGAATTGGAGTGTGCATACAGAGAGCCAAGGATTTTCATGGTCTCGTAGTTGCCTGGCTGAATTTTAAGCACTTTCTCAAAGCACTGCGCCGCCTGTAAATATATAATATGAAATATTTAGATTTGCATAATTAATAGTTTTTCCTGTTGTGACATTTACGTTTTCCGTATCTCCGCGATAGATGTACATCTGGCCGAGTCCGTAGTGGGGCAGCACAAAGTTAGCTGGCGCAATCTGTGTGGACTGATAGTAGTATTGGAAGGCCTGATCATAGTCGCTCTGTGCGTGAAAGCTTCTTGCCAGCTGGTAACAGCTCTCGGCGCGCATTGCCTCGTTTTCGGTATTGTGGAAGGCGTGCAGCGCCAGATGGTGCACCTTCTGGTAGTCCTTTTTGAAAAAAAAGTGATTGGCCAAATGATTCAAGACCATAGGATTTGCATTGTCAATGGTATAGGCCTTAGAAAGCATTTGCACGCCCAGCTTATTAGATTCCGGCTCTAGTTGATTTAGTTTAAGCACAGCCAGGCCAATTAAGGCGCCCACGCATTGCTGGTCCAGCTGCAGGGCACGCTCAAATGCCAGTTTTGCCTTTTCCGCATTGCCCATTTTCAGAAAGCAGTGCGCCATGCCAATGCGCACATTGGCTGGACAATTGGGATTTGTGCGTAGTGCCTTCTTGTAGAAGGCCATGGCACCGCGGTAATCCTTGCGATTGAATGCAATGCATGCCTTGCCCAGCAGCGATGGTATATTTGATGGCGATTGATTAAGCACAAAGTTGAATTGCGCATCCGCCTGATCCATTTTATCGCCTTCGAGCAGGCAGAAGTAGGCACGTCCCAGCAAATGGCTTTGATCGTACATGATAATCTTGTCCGCATTCGTGTATAGATTGGTGGCCTTCATGAACAGCTCGCGCTTTTTATCCTTGGACTTTTCCCTATACGCTTCCTGCACATAGTGGGCGGCCAGCATGTCGAAGGCGCGCATTTGATCCGTTTTAAAGTCACGGTAATCCAAGGTGCCCTTCTCACGAGCTGCCTCCAGCAGCATAATGAAGTCATCCGTCTTCTTTTGCTTGTAGTACGCCAGCTGCGAAATATATACACAAGCATTATTTATACTGCTCATTTGGAGCCCTGTTGTAATGTACTATTGCCACATACCGCCACATTGACCCATACGTGTAACGGTGCACGCTCCTGTAGCAATATGCTGAACACCTCGGAGCATTCGGGCAGTTGATCCGGGTCCACTTCGATGACCTGTAAGCATTTATTTTTTTTTAGTAAACGCCGCGTTACATACTAACACTACAGGCTGTTAAGCTTACCTCATCTGTGTCCTGCAGCGGAATTTCGATGCAAGTGGACATGATTGCAGTAAGCGTGGCTCAAAGGCCAAACAGTTGATGACTTTACGGCGTTTTATTACACAAAAACCACAATTTAATTTCCGAACGCGGTACGCTTGCTAAAAAAAAACATTGAGACCAACAACATATCGATACCCAGAGTTGCAGCAGCGATAGCATGCGATATATAGTTGAAGTAAATATCGAATAACTTTACTCGAATCTAGAATATGCCATCGATTGATTTGAGGTGGCATTGTTTATGGTCAAAATTATGTAGACAAATAACAAAAAATTTATTTAAAATTTAAGGCGATAATGTATTAGAGCCAAAATGCAAAGTGCCATTTGGCGAGCGGGCGTGCGGCAACTAGCGCCCAATGTGCGCGCCACATCAACAACAGTAACAACAGCAGCAGCAGCATCAGTAAGTAGACTCCAACTAAAAGTACACAAACAGAGCCAAACAGATGTTCTGTGCCGATTACGTAAGAGCTGTGTCAGTATAGCACAATTGGCGCAAAAGTCAACACGTGCGGCCGACAACAACAAACAGCTGTGCAGGCACACACACACGCACACGCACCCAAGCATACACGCGAGCGGACGAGCTGTCAGTGTTGCGCAGTATTCGAGATACTCGGCCAGTACAATCATGAACTCATACTGCAAGGAGCTGGATCTGATGGACTATGATATCATTGGGTTTGATCTGGATGGCACGCTTTTGCGCTATAATCTGCAGGAGATGACACCGCTCATCTATAATGTGCTTAAAGTGTATTTGGTGGAGCAGAAAGGCTACTCGCCGGCGCTGTTGACCAAAAAGCTGGACATGGATTTTCTGCAGAAGGGTCTCATGCTGGATGGACCGCGCGGCAATGTGCTGAAGCTGAGCAATGAGGCTGTCATTCTGCGTGCCTCGCATGGCACACGTCTGCTGAGCGATGATGAGATTGTGGCTGCTTACGGCGCCGCTCGACGCTGGGACGTAGCCACAGCCTTCTACAATGATCCACTTTCAACTTGGAATGGCCCAGCCGCTACGCAGATGCGCACGCTGCTCGATTACTTTGACATGCCCAGCGCGCTGGTATTTGCCCAAGCCGTGGATATCGTGGACAAGGACAGCGGTCCAAATGGCAGGCCCAAGGAGTACAACGTCTGGCGGGATCTGCTCGATGGCCTAATGCACAACTACAGCCGCGACAACTTCAAAAACGATCAGAGTCTCTACTTCAAGGCCATGCGCGCTGAGCCGCAGCGCTATGTGCTGCCCAGCAGCTCGAAGCTGCGCACCTGGCTCCAGCAATTGCGTGCCACGGGTAAAAAAGTGTTTCTGCTAACCGGCTCGAACATAGACTTTGCCGATCTGACGGCCACACAGGCCCTGGGTCCGGATTGGCAGCAGCAGTTCGACTACATAGTGACCTATGCCAAGAAACCGGGCTTCTTTACAATGCAACGCCCCTTCATGCGTGTGGATGATGTGGCCAAGTGTGAGCTGCCCGCCACGGAGTTGAGTCTGCAGGCAGAGCTCAAACCGGGCGATGTCTACTCGCAGGGCAACTGGCATCAGCTGCATCAGTCGATGGCCAAGCAGTTGAACAAAGACATAAGCGCAGCGCGTGCGCTTTATTTTGGTGATAACATCATACAGGATATCTATACGCCCGTGAAGCATCGCGACTTTGACACAGTGGCCATTGCCGAGGAGCTGTTTCTGATGGAGCAAAAGGACTATCCCTACCGGGCGGTGCTGGCCTCTAAGTTCTGGGATTCGTATTTCATCAGCGGCAACACGCCCACGCTATGGTCCGGCTTCATAGCTAATTACGCACAAATCTGTGTGTCCTCCATGGAGCAGATGGCACAAACGTCGCCCACCGAACGTCTCGTATGCAACAATGTCAACGGCTTCTATCCGGCGCTGCCCAAACAGCTCGAGTGCAGCAACCTCACGACCTGTTGGCACGGCGGCGGCGTCTGATAAGATCCCCTCGGTACTTGATAGAAAAGTACTCGAAGCACAATCTCAAAATTGAGCCATAGGCGGCTGCATCCGAAATTGAACTGCAAGCAAATTGTAGAGATAAAAATTATAGTCGAAATAAATTAAAGCAATAAACAATGTCGCAGAGATTTACATTCAGCTAGACAAGAAACAATATTCCATACAATATTAACTCAGGCTAGCCTTTACTTTGTCAATTTCTCGAGTATTTTGTAGAGTATTCAAATGTTCGCATACTAATTCTAACTTTAAGCAACCATTTGCCTACAACATTTATAAACGTACAAATCTTTTATCTTGAGCAACGGAAGGGTTACATATATTGATATATATAGGGTAACATATTTTGTAACCCTTCCGCTGCTTAAGATAAGTGATATATATATATATATATATTTAAGACCCGATCGAGACGAATAGGTCAATGCATACTATTTTTAATAAACGTTTTCTAGCTTCAACTTTTTTAATACTATTAATAGTATGAATGTTTCCCTTATAATCAAATGTTTTTTGAGCTAAGGGTTCTTAGAAAATGTATCTAAAGTTGACAATTAAAATAAAATTATCTCCAGTTTCTAAATAATCTTTGTTTTTTGGGAGGAGTTCTTGCTTGATTCTTGTTGCTGGCAAGTAAGTTAAAGAGATTGGAATACTATATGACAGATCATATATAGGAATGATTGATTTTTCAGTTGAGTTCTTGCATATAGGATATTTCGCAAAAGACACATAGCTTTCGATCTAGATATACCCATCGAAATCGGTCAATATTAAAGCTGTCGCCATGCAATTAGGTATTTAAAATTTATAGATATCAATACAAAGTTTCAGACTACACTTAGATTTGTGAACAAGCATAATACCAAAGGAAAATAATAAACAATACATATTGTGACTATACAGCAGAGGGTAATAACGGAAGCAATTCAATTCAATTGATTCTATTGACTAATTTAGATGATGCGCTCAACGGCCAGAGCGATGCCCATGCCGCCGCCAATGCATAGCGAGGCGATGCCGCGACGTCCGCCAGTACGCTGCAGGGCGTAGAGCAATGTGACCAGGACACGTGCGCCCGAGGCGCCAATGGGATGGCCCAGTGCAATGGCGCCGCCATGCACATTCACTTTGCTGGCATCCAGCTGAAGGCACTGAAGCACGGCGAGCGACTGAGCGGCAAACGCTTCGTTCAGCTCATAGAGATCCACTTCATCACGGCTCCAGCCGATTTTGGTCAGCTGCAAGTGCACAGATTACAATGGGCAGGAGAAACAGCTAAAGAGCAAATGCTTACCAGTGCTTCCACAGCGGACACTGGACCCAGGCCCATGACTTTGGGCTCAATGCCAGTCTGTGCCCAGCCGACAATTTTGGCCAGTGGCTTGAGGCCGCGCTTGTTAAGCTCCTCGCCGGACATGAGCAGTAGCGCTGCAGCCGAATCGTTAACGCCGGATGCATTGCCGGGTGTGATGGTGCCGCCCTCCTTGAAGGCGGCACGCAACTTTTGCAGGCCCTCCACATTGCTGCCGCTCTTGATGTACTCGTCTTTGCTAAATAGCTGTGTGCCCTTGCGATCCTTGATCTCGACGGGCACAATCTCGGCGTCAAAATAGCCCTGCTGCTGTGCCAGTTCGGCGCGCTGCTGCGACTGCACCGCATAGGCATCCTGGGCCTCGCGGCTTATTTGATACTTCTCCGCCAGATTCTCGGCTGTGATGCCCATGTGTATGTTCTCCATGGCATCGGTCAGGCCATCGTTGAGCATGGAGTCCAGTAGCGTGCCAGCGCCCATTTTAACGCCCTGGCGCAGATGCATGACATGCGGTGCCAGGGACATGCTCTCCTGGCCGCCAGCAATAACGATCTGTGCATCGCCCGTGCGTATCGCCTGGTAGCCCAATGCGACGGTTCTGGAAAATGCAGTCAGATGTTGTAAGTGCATCCAAGTCAAGCCCAGTGCTGATATACCCACTTCAGACCCGAGCCGCAGAGCATATTGATGCCATAGGCGGGCACCTCGATGGGCAGGCCAGCTTTGAGTGCGGCCTGGCGGGCGGGATTCTGACCTTGACCTGCCGTCAGTGCCTGTTGACAACCAAAATTCAGTTCTAGCCATTTACATAACAAATTTAAGCAAATTATATGCGATAAAAAATCCACTTAAACAATTGCCTCGCTGATAAGCAACAATTGGGCAATTTGGGTTTGTACCTGGCCCATGATGACTTCATTGACTTGCGGCGCCTCGACATTGGCACGCTTCAGCACCTCCTGGATGACCACGCTGCCCAGATCGGATGCCTTCAGTTTAGAAAGTGTTCCATTGAAGCTGCCTAAATATGCCGAAAAGAGAAAGTTTCACAAATACTTAGGAATTACATCAGATTTTTCTGAAACTGCGCTCTCTTTACCAATGGGCGTTCGCGCCGCAGACACAATGAACACGTCAGACATGGCTGGCTAATAATATTTTTAGCAAATGTTTACACTTTAAGTGATAAATTAGCAATAATTATTGCACTTAGCAGCAACTGTGCGTTGAGGGCGCGCTGAAACAAATGATTCGCCGCGGCAGGCAGGTAGTTCACAATTGTATTCGCCGCGGCGATGATATGCTGCTAGCACACCTTCAATATATTGACACTCGATAGCTATTTTCAAAATTTTGATTATTGATTATAAGTTAGTATAAACTTATCAGTTCTTAGCCGTTTTATCAATTTTCTTTTTATTATTAATCTTAGACGCGTGGAGTGCTTCGTATACTTCTGTGTCTATCTAAAAAAATATTTAATTGCATAAAATCTAAATTCTTTTCATGTATTAAAATGTATAAAACATTTTAACCAATGAATGTTGTTTTGGTTTGAAAAGCTAGTTTATACGCAGCACAATAATTAACTAAAGTTTTTAAGATAAGTGTCTTTTAATCATAATCAAATAATGGAATGCCACTTTGTATTTGAAATAAAGCCAAAACTATCGATATTGACAGCTCAGTTAATAGACATCGATAACAGCGATAGCTAGTTTTTTAGTTGCCCTCAATCTATCGATGGGTTATTATATCGATACGGTATCTCGGTACACAGAAAATTATTTTTTGCTGAAAAAACGCACAAAACGCGCTTTGTTAACGCAATAAGAACAAAAGCGACCCAAACAGCGACTCCTGGACAGTTCGCTAGCCATAAAACTTGTGCAGATTGAGGCCGAGTCGCCGTTTTACGGAGCCGACCAAGAGCCACAGCGTCGACAGCAGCAGCAGCAGCAGCAGCAACAGACCCAGCCCTCGCCCAACGGCAACAACAACACCACCACCCTAACCAAGGCAACAACAACAACTGCAACAGCCGCACAATCACACAAAGCAGCAACAGCAGCAGCAGCAAACGCAACAAATATGCAGGCGATTAAGTGTGTCGTCGTGGGTGACGGTGCTGTGGGTAAGACGTGCCTGCTCATCAGCTACACGACAAATGCGTTTCCCGGCGAATATATACCCACCGTATTTGACAATTACTCCGCGAATGTGATGGTCGATGCGAAACCCATCAATTTGGGACTGTGGGATACGGCCGGTCAGGAGGATTATGATCGTTTGCGTCCATTATCGTATCCACAGACCGATGTCTTTCTCATTTGCTTCTCGCTGGTCAATCCGGCCTCGTTTGAGAACGTGCGAGCCAAATGGTATCCGGAGGTGCGCCATCATTGCCCCAGCACGCCCATCATTTTGGTGGGCACCAAGCTGGATTTGCGCGACGACAAGAACACGATTGAGAAGCTGCGCGACAAGAAACTGGCGCCGATCACATACCCACAGGGTCTGGCCATGGCCAAGGAGATTGGCGCTGTTAAATATTTGGAGTGCTCGGCGCTAACGCAAAAGGGCCTAAAGACCGTCTTCGATGAGGCTATTAGATCGGTGCTTTGTCCCGTTCTGCAGCCTAAATCCAAGCGCAAATGCGCTCTGCTCTAATTTTAAGATGCACAAACACACACACACACACAATACACTCACACACAGACACACACACACACGCAACAAGAACACCCACGAAGCATTGTATTTGTATTTGTCGTCAAGTCTATTTAATAACGTAATATTATTAACTAATAACAATTATGTAACATAAGCAGCAGCAACTAGCGAGCTGACTCGAGAGGAGTCCAGCTTCCGGCATACTCCGGACCTGGTCAGCCTGCCACACGATGTATTTTCTGCTTTGTTGAAACTTGCCCACTTTAAAACAGGGGGAAAAACCGAATTTTCTACTAACTCTTCTTGTTCTGTTAGACGTCCTTAATTGTTCAACTAAGTCGTTTCGTTTCGTGTGTTTTTGTTTGTTTGTTTATGCTTTCGATTTGAACTAATTTCAAACATGTGCATTAATTTGAACTAAAAGTTAATTAAAATTAATGTTGTAAAACCAAAAAAAAAAAAAAAACAAAAACGAAAAAAAAAACATAACTAAATAGAGTGAAAATTGTATTGTAAAGAGCTGAGCATAAAGAAATGTTTGGCCTCGTAAAGTAGGCGAAAGTTGAAAAATGATGCAGTGCAGCAGCCAGTAAACGTTCCACTGCACAATGCAAGACAACAAAAAACAAACAATTACATTATAAAACACACACTCACACACCCACACACACACATTGTATTTAGATGTTGATTGAAACTGTTGCCAAGTATCAAAGGAAGCTAGGTAAAGGCAAAGAATTAGGCAGAATTGCAGCTAAACAAATACACAAACGTATATTAAATTAAAATCAAGAACAGATTCATGTATGAGATGCGCTTCCTAACGGCATCAAACAGCACCAGATTTCCAGATTGTGGAAACTAAATGAAAAATTAAGAACGTTTTTAATTGCTAAAAGAAAGAAAAAAAAAACAAAAAGAAGAAAAACCAGGAGCTACCATACATAATAATAAGATAATGTCCTTCGTATACTATGTACATGTACTGATTTAAAATACACAAAGAAAACGCAGAAAACAAAATATTTGAAACATTTTGAATACTTTGTATTTTAAATATTCGAAAACGCATCAAATTATAAACATACATATACATAAATGTGTCAATGGAAGTCAAATAAAGCATACAAAAAATTTCAATACACGCGATCTCTTGAGTACCCGCAATCCGAGCCATATGTGCCCTATATATACATGTATATATACATATATATATATATGCTTTTATATGAATATGTATATATAGGCATTAGCAATTTCCAGCAACCTGTCTGCTTTGGTTTTCAATTTCAACGTTGACAAAACGCTTATCACAGCGAAAGAAATATAATACAAATTGAAAACCGACAGAAAAGAAAAGAATGAAATCAACGTTCAGCGCGGGGTCGTCGGAGATTTGTTTTTGTTGGAATGTTCTCGCAGCTGGAAATTAATCGGGCACAGCGGCAGCAACAACAAAATCGTTTTATGTTTATGTTATATGGAGGCGGACGCGCCTAACATGTGTGTACATCGAGTGTGTGTGTGTGTGCGTGTGTGTATCTGTGGCCGGTTGTCTACCCATGACGTGTCCATATGAACAAGAGAGAAATTATGAACGCGCAACCCCATGGACCGGACCAATCGTCGAGAGGCTGTGCGGCTGGCTGGCTGACGTGTATGTTTTGGGATGCATATCAATTAAAGCTGAAATCAAACCAATTGAACAGGAATGGAACCGGGTGGGGAGTTATTCTATAGCGTTAAGTCTGTTATAATGCACTTGCAGAGTCGGGCTTACATGGCTAAATGTATTACATGGTATTTGGCATTCGAGTTGGGAGTTGTAACTTATTAGCTAGAGACTTGTAGTTAATCTCTCTCTGCGATCTTAGAACTCGTCATGGCGTGCCAGTGCCTCGCCGAAGTCGGTGACTTGGGAGCCTACGAATACGTCGTATTTATCGAGCACTTCGGCTTTGGTTAGCTTCTCGTCGTTATCCTCGTCAGCCTCGAATATCAAATGCTTGGCCTCGCTCTCGGCATGGTCAAAGTCATTCGGCACAATCCATTGGCGTATTTCCGCCTCGGTTAAGTAACCATCTTGGTCTAGGTCGCGATGCTTGGAAAATGCTTCACGTTCGCTGAGCACCCATTCGGGCTCATCCTCATTAGGCTCTGAGGGACGGTACATGTCGCCAATGTATTCGTCTACGGAGATTTTGCCATCCTTGTCTTTGTCCAAATCCTCGGTGGTCTCCTGCAGTACTACATCACGCATGGTCGGATGTTCCTCAGGATGCAAGAAGGCTGTAAACTCCTCGCGCGTCAATTTATCGTCCAGATCCTGATCGGCCACAGCCCAGCGACGGCGATCTCGTTTCAGCATGCTCTTGTAAGAGATACCTGCCAAGGATTCGTATTACTTTCGAGAATCATTAAATCAGCGCCATGGGCTTACCATGCTCCTCCTGCTCCAGTTCCTCCTTATCCAGTGTATCCATAAAACCATAAATAGAGTTGCGATACGTTTCCCAGCTAATGGTTGTCTCGTTATCCGGATTGTGCTGACGCCATAGTCGACCCACATCTTCGTCGATGTAGCGACGCTGCGTGTACTGAATCCAGGCTTTGAGCTCAGCCAGCGTTATGAAACCATCCTTATCTTCGTCAATGCGGTCCACAATCAGACCGAGGCGTCGCTTGCTCTCCTCCGGCGAGAGTTCATCGTACTTCTTGGCCTCGTCAGCGCCCAAAAATGCTTCGTGGTCAAACTGGGTATTGTGCTCGCCTCCATCGAAATGCTTGGCATGCAGCGAGTCGTGCTCCAGCGGATTGTGCGGCACTTCACCGGCCGCCGGTATGCTAGAAGCGGCGGCCAAGCTTATCACAGCGGCAGCAACAAGTAGAAAGGTTCCAGTATTCATTTTGTTAAGCGGAGCGACGTCTGCTCGCTTTGAGTATTCAAACAAAAGTAATTCGAGTTAGAACTAATTCATCAAACGACGCCTAAAGTATCGATGTTTATAAACGATAGTTTTCGAATTCTGATTGGGCGAATTTATCGACTGCGTATCGATACCATGCGATAAGAATTTCTTAGACAAAATCTTCCGCATTCTGCGTTATGCTTGAAAATCCTGGAGAGGATCAGCGTTCCAAAAAGCGAAAGGTGATGGGTGCGGGCGAGCCGAAGACTGCGGGCAATCTCGAGGCGACCCAGCAACAGCTGGAATCCGATTGGAATTCGCCCAGTTTAATGGTACTCTTCGATGGTGGCGATCTTAACAAGGCCATGGATCATCTTCTGGGCTCACTGCAAAATCCATTCGCGAAGCATGCGGTGGCCACATTGTTCATCCAGGAGAGCGTGCGTGAGCCGGTTATAAAGCTTTTGGTGGAGCAATTGAAGCCGCTTCAACCGCAAATTTACAATCATCCCAATTATGTGCGCTCACGGGCCAAACTGCAGCAGCTCAGGTCGGAAATAATTGTTGGCAATCCGAAGACGGTGCCAGCACATGCCACGCCCATGCTGGTCTGTGACATATCCCACAAATATTTGGGCGATGGACCAACGGGCATCATCACGATGCACACATTCCGCACACCCAAAGATGCTATCCAGGTGATTTTGCAGGACACGCTCGTCTACGGTTCGGTTAGCATCTGGCATGAGAAGATCGCCAGCGCCTATGAGATGTGCGATCTGCTCAAGAATGACACCTTTATGATCAACTGCTTTAATGTTGATCTGGCGCCAATAAGGCCTGCCTTCGAAGCCGGCAAAAATGATGTGTTGATCGAAGGTGGCTATCACTACGAGATCCTCACTAAAAATGAGAAGAGCAAGATGGTTGTCAGTGCCGTAGGCTCCATATTTGTCAAATGATCCCGCGAATGTTATCCTGCTGATATGTATAAATCGTCAATAGTTTTAAGTTTATTAAATAAATAATAATAAAGCAAAAGCTATTTACAAGTGGGCACGAGCGGCGAGTACATTTATTTGTTGCTTGGAGCTGGCACACCAGGATCGTTGACGTCCTGGTTGAGCGAACTGAAGTCGCCAGTGTTGCAGGAAATGCTTGGAATATCAAAATTGGAGAACCCACGATAATTGGCCACCTCCGGCTTAAGGGGGGATGGCAAGAGTGCACCTGCGAGTGGCACATCGCAGTCTATTAAACTGTCCGTTGTGGTGTCCAGCAGGCTGAGCTCAGCCGCGCTGTTCGGAACGGTACTTGCGATCTGCTGTCGCTGCTGCACAAGCGGATCAAATTCATCTAGATTTAATTTGGACTCATCTGCGACGCTGTTCTCGCCGCTTTGGTCAGACAAATCGAAATCGTAGTTGATATTTGTCAATCCACCCTGAAATTCCGAGCCTAGCATCAACACGTCTCCATTTTCGGATGACTCCTCCAGCAGCGAGACTGCATCAAAGGGTGTATAATTGAATATAGGCGAGGCAAAGAGCTGATCTGGCTGCGGTAGATTTTGATGCAGCGGTGACAGGCGTCCCACAGAGCCAATGCTGGTGTCCTTGAGTGCCAAGGTATGCGCCGCTTCCAAGTGGGAATCCTCGTGCGTAGCGAGTTCCTTTTCCTTAGATTTAGCTGACAATTGGTGCTGACCTAGCCCACCACTGAGTAGATTTGTTTGGTAGTGGCCAGCAACCGCTTCTACGCCATCCTGTGACAAATGGGCGCGCGCCTGACTTATAAGAAACGGCGGCGTTTTAATGGGCAGCAGCGTTAGCGGCGCCTTGGCCATTACCGTGTCCACCTTCTCGGTCACCTCGCGCTGGAACTCAATGAGCTCGCGCTCAAAGTCCTTAATGCCCGTGGCAATAACCGAGTTACGTTTCTGTAGCTGTTCCATGCATTTCATATTCTCAGATATAAGATGCAGGCTCTCGCAGGCCAACAACGCGCTCTCCCAGGGTGTGCTGTAAGTCTGTTCGCCGGACATCAAAGCATCGAACTCCTCGGCGCCAATGCTCAAGCTCTCACCATTTAGATTCTCAATGAAGGCAATGGCCGAGCAGAGATTGGTGAAATAGTAGCCACCCTCGCCGCTCATGACACGCGATGCGTTTGTAAAACGGTTGACAAAGTTCAGGTTGCTGTGCAGACGGACGGGATTCGCTTTGAGCACCACAAAGATAAGCGCCGGCAAGAAGTCATCTGCACTGGCTGGTCCGCCCGTGGAACGTTTCAACAGCTCGAAAATGTGACGACAGCAGCGCACCGTGCACAGCAGCTTCTCCTGCGGCGAATAGTAGGAGTCGATCCCGACCAGTTCCGATATGGCATTGTAGACCAAATCACGGGCCTCCGCATTAACCTCGTCAATGCTGCAGTCTAGATGCTTGGCTGTTATCCAGCTCAATTGTCGTATGCGCTTTTGGACCTTTATATCGCTCTCCTCGTCTGTGGTGAAGTACGGACTAAATAGGAGACTACATGCAAAGATAAGATGAGAGATGGCAGTGGCATTGAACGGATGATGACTCACTTGTGATTCTGTGTCATCACAACTTTCTCGAAGAAGTCTATGGCACTATCGCGATCCTCGTTGGTGGCAATCTCGAAGCGTTGATCGTTGTGTACAATATCCGCGACTCTGGTGTAGGCATTCTGCACGAGATCGGACAGTTCATCCACATTTTTGGTACTGTTGTTGTTCATGTATTTGCGTATTTCGTGGTCTAGTCGTTGGATCTCGCTTTTCAGCTTCCGCTTGGCATCGTCCGGTATGCGCAGTTGACGCAGCTGCAGCATAAACTGCTTCTCCGTGGCACTTGGCACTCGTGGCTGTTGCGGGACTGCCAATTTATTTTTCAATGTCTTTTGCAGCACGGCGGGCACAGTGAACTTCTTCCTGGGCATTGTGCTGCTGGCTGTTGGTGTCTCGTTGTGTGGCTGCTCCTTCTCAGGCTGCTTCTTTGGTTTAGCACGGCCCAGCGAGAGCGAATGCTGCGGCGACTTGTGCTCCATGGTTCCGCCAGCGGAACTGGCGCCAGTGTACAACGCTTCATGATCCTCGCTGGCTCTCTCTGTGGTCAATGGGAATTACAAATATGACTAAGTGCTACAAATAGATAAATCGCAGCAGCTTGCTTACGCTTTTTCCGCTGCTTATCGTTGCGCTCGCGGAAACATTTCGAGCAGAGTCCATCGAACTGTGTGTTGCCGTAGAAGCCGCAGCCCTGTCGGCACTTTAGATCTTGCTGCCCGATTCGCAGCATGGGCGCACGGTTCGCCATCGTTGGGCGTGGCTTTTACACACTTTTGATTGCTATAATTTATTTTTTACAACTGTCCGACTCGATTTTGGGCGAAGATTTTATTTACAGTCGAAGCAGCCATTCGATTGCAGAGAAACAGCTGATACCAAACTTATCGCATAAATGTATCGATGTTTGTTAACGATACTTTTCTAAAATATTTGCCCTCTAAGTTTCGACATCGAATAGTTTGGTGGCAATTTTAAAAACGGTGCCAATATAGCTTGTCATTCTATTTGCATTAGCAGCGCAGCTTGATGCAAACTGGGCATGCATTTAAACAAAGAGTTACGTGTACGTGTACGTGTACATACATATATACAAAAAAATATACATACATATATACATACATACATACATACATACATACATACATACATACATACATACATACATACATACATACATACATACATACATACATACATACATACATACATACATACATACATACATACATACATACATACATACATACATACATACATACATACATACATACATACATACATACATACATACATACATACATAAATACATACACACATACATACATACATACATACATACATACATACATAAATACATACATACATACATACATACATACATACATACATACATACACACATATACATACATACATCTACATACATACATCTACATACATACATCTACATACATACATCTACATACATACATCTACATACATACATCTACATACATACATCTACATACATACATCTACATACATACATCTACATACATATCTACTTACCTGCCCCACCTCCTCCTGGTCCGCCGCCTCCTGGGGTTGCTCCTCCACCGGCCGCTGGAGCCAACTGACTGCCTTGTTGAATTTCACCAAGGCCTACTTAAATTTTTGAGAATCGAGGAGGAGAGCTCTTAAAAATAAATTTAAATTAAAGTCGCTGCGCAGTGATATGAAATTTGACTCTGTGTTTAGATTAATAAAACATTCATGTATATACATACATACACATACATACATACATACATACATACATACACACATACATACATTCGTACATACATACATACATACATATACATTGATACATACAAGTAAACATTCCCCATAATTAATGGACATTTTCAAGCTATATCACTCAACTTAACACATTTTTACCTATTTCAAATGAATAATTGATATATTGACGAAATCCAGGTTTAAGAAATGCATTATTTTGAATAATAAATTCAGTAGACAACTAGAATTTTACTAAAATTAAATTTTAGTATAGTTTATTGAAATGAAAAAACACTTAAGTTGCAACTGAGGGCACAATATGTTTGGATACATTTAGTAAAAATCGAAGTGCCTAAGGAAACAGCCCGCAAAATTCTTAAGTGCTACGCATAAAACATGTATTTAAAATCAATTTGTTGGCAAGCTGATGTACATAGCTTAAGATTTAGGACGGTTATACACATAGAATGCAACTTCTGGTATGTATAGGCATAACGGGTAGATTTCAAAAAGTGTTATACAAGAAAAGTTGAACTGGTAAGCTAATTGGTTCACAACAACAATTTGAAAAAGCTCAGAAAACACATAACTATGTATGTATGTAGACAAATGGCTACGACTAGACTACAAAATTTTCAAGTTGACCTAACTGCTCTCCTCTACATGTCGTTTCATTTACTAACACTTTTGTTGTTCCCAATAACAAATTCATATTTGCGCTAAACAAATGCCCACAAGACGCTTGCACACGTTCCCTATAATAATATCCAGCTTAATTGACGCACGCTCCACAAATGCATTAGCTCTATTCAACTCTAAAAATGTCTATTAACGCTACTCTCTAATTCTGTCTACCATAGTTGCCTTTTAGCAGTACAAAGATTTGGAAAAAACCACTTGTTCTTGTGTGTTTAATAAGTCTCACAATTGCTAATACATATTTATCGAAATGCAACGTTGTTATCGTGTGCTCAGCTACCGTTAGTTACGTATACTTAACATGATCTCTTCAGTTTTAATTCCACTTTTCCAATTCAACCGTTTCGTAAAGTCTCGTAAATAGTTTTTAACTTAGTTCTATGCTACTTATGATGGATGTCTTTGGCTTCCGTTTTGCTTTTATGTGCATCAAGTTTTCAACTCTATTATCTATAAAAATGTAATTATAATTAATCGATAATTATCGATAACACGTTTTCAACAGTTATGCCGTTTTGGTTATAGTTTTTGATTAAACGTTCAATTTTTGTTTTGATTAATTGATGATTCCTTTCGTATGTGTGTGTTTTTACTATTTAGTAATCAATTCTCTACAAAAGATTCGCTTTGGTATAAAATTTCAAGTCTAACAATTTGCTTCAATAAATTCCTTATTCCAACTGAACTGCAGCTGAAATTTGTTGGCTGAAGAAACTTGTTCTCGATTGGATAAAGTAGTAAAAGAGTATTGTACCCTGTGTGTGTTTCGAACTGAATCGAATCTAGTTATACATATTAAATAACATTAAAATACGAGTATACGGCTGTTCAAAAGCCAGCAGAACTTATCCTGTTGATTAGTCTAGCCCGGTTTCGTATTAGCCATGTTAACTGAAGTACTTCAGGCCCGCAATCAACATAAACTTTTCGATGAACAGCTCCGAGTCCAGCACCTAGACGATACAGAATTCTAAATAGGTAAAGTTATTTTTAACGAAGACTTCTTCATACCGCAATGTGGGCAGCTCTTCCGATCAGCGTGTTGGCTGTGTGGGGCAGGGCGTGGTGCACATCGAACCGGGCGAGCGTCAGTTCCGGTCGGGCCAGGATGGGCGCAATGACATTGTGCACCATTTCCCTGCAGGAGTAAATTAGATAAATCTGGTAACTGGCAATGTCTTACATAAAGCAAACCGGGTTTGAACCAGAAACTGGTTCGATTGGCTTGGATTGAAACTTATTTGGCCATAGATTTGTGAATGTGATTAAGCAGATACACAAACCAGCATCTTCTATTATCTGAATTCAAGGAAGTATGTACCTGTAGATTGTGCCCAAGGAGGAGTTATCCCGCATGGCGGCCTTGCACAGCTCCAGACGCGCCGAGTGCGCGGGTACATAGCGATCCTGACTGGAGCCGCACAGCAGAATGTTGCTGAAGTGATGCAAGGTGCTCCGCTGGCTCAGCCTGTAGAGGAAGCTGTTGCGCATGTCCGTGGTGTCGCGCATGCACAGCTGCAGCAGGGAGCCGGACTTCTTCCACTTTTGCATGAACCACATGCCTGATGGAAGTAGAAATGCAGCAATTTGTTCTAGGATTAGCTACGGTCTGACTTACCCATGTTAACCAGGCCGCTGGTGTTGTAGAGCGTGCCCAGATGTGGACCGGAGAGCGAGAGGAAAGTGTGCAGGCGCGGCAGCAGTGGCCGCATCTGTGGACGCGCCAGGGCGCTGCGCACTATGATGGTGCCCAGGGAATGGGCCACGAACGAGATGCGTGCTGGGTTCAGCCCGCAGCTGTCGATATGGTAAAGAATCTCGGCCACCAGCCTGCAGGAAAAGCTCAAAATCAAGTTGGTCCGATCATCAGGTGAACCAATTATTGGACTTACCGATCAGTCATGGTATCAAAGTCGGAGAAAGTGTCGCCCTGGTTGCGCTCGGACATGAGAAACTCGAGATTTACGCCGGGCAGACCCAGCTCCAGATAGGTGCGCACCAGACGCAGATCCGCCGAATTGCCATCCAGTCCGTGCACACAGATGACCAGGTGCATGCCATTTGGTGAGAAGGCGCGATACTCGTCACTGATGTAGAAATAGGGCAGCTCCGAGGCCAGCTGCACGTAGTCGGAGTAGATGTTGCCCTGGTACTTGACTTGCTTGCGGAACTCCTCGCGGCACTTCTCGAACTCCAGCAGCGAAATGCTCGGACTGGCCTCCTGGCCAGCCTGACCAGCCGGCGGACTCTTGCGCTTGTGCTTGGCTACGGAGCCGTTTGATGGCTTGCCACGTCCCACAACTTTACCATTGGCATTCTCCTTATTCTCGTCCGGCTCCGCATCCAGCCCATTCTCCTGGCCGGGCGTTTTGCATTGATGCTGCGGTGGTCGCTTGAGCTCCGCCAGGCTGTGGGATTTCAGCACCGGCTTGTTGCTGAAGATCGCTGGCGTGGACATAGGACGCAGCGACTCGTAAATGTGGTACACTGGATTGTCAATGGCTCCGATGGGCTGGCGTTCCTTGAGCGCCGATGCCGTTGGCGCATTCAGCACATGGCAGGGCATGGACTTGGCCTTCGACTTGGTCACGGCCGGCGGTGCAGGAATGGCTAGTGGCAGGGCAACAGGCACGGGGATCGTAGCTGCAGTTGGAGTGGGTGCCGGTTCCGGTGGTGGATCGCGAAACTCATCGGGTGGCGGTGGTGCAACCACCTGGTCCAGCTCCTGATCCTGAAACTGCTGCGGCGGCGGCAGGCATACGGCATCCAGCGGCTGCATATCCTTTAAGCTGGTTATATCAAAGTCGGACTTGGACTTTTCGCACTTGGCGGAGGCGGTGCCGGCTTTGTGCCGGCTGCGCCGCGGCGGTGGACGTTCCAGGTCCTCCACCTCGGTGGACTCGCCATTGGGCAGCTGACGCAGCCGATCCAGCTGAAAACGTGAACGCTCCTTCCTGATTGTCACGGTCACGGATGAGATCTTCTTGTGCAGCTCCTTCTCCTTCTCCTGCTGCTGTTGTTGTCGTGCGGGCGTGCGGCTCTGGCTGGAACCCGCCGACTGGCGCTTTCTGGTTTGCTTCTGTGGTTGCTGCTGTTGCTCCAGTAGTTTCTGGAGCCGCAGACGCAGCTGCTCGCCATTGAGCCGCGTCTCCAGGCCCATGCCCATGCCCAGGTTGAGCTGTGTCTGCCGCTGATTCTTCTGATGCTGCCCGGTGCTGGTGATTGTGTCCGGACTGGATATGGCCAACGAGCTGCGCCGGCTGCTGACCCAGCCGCTCTCCTCGCTTAGCGAGGATGTCGAATTGCTACGCTGTCTGCGCGCGTCCGACTCAAATTCCGGTGGCGGAGCCAAATTGGGCAGCGATTCACTGAATCCGCTCGTATTTGGATCGCTGCTGTTCGTGTTGTTGTTGCTGTTCACCGTCGTTGTGGCGTCCAGCCGGAAGGGCACACTGCTCGAGCTGAGCAGCTGCAGCTTTTGCATCATGTCGCTCTCCGAGCTGCTGGACTCCTTGCGCAGCGTGCCCGCGGCCTGACCCTGGCGCAACATCTCTTTGATGTCAGACACACGCACCCGGGCTATCTCCACGGCTCTGGGTATCTGAGAGCTGCTGCTTCGCGGCATGGTCGTGTACTGGCTGGGCGGTGGCGGTGGATAAGAGTTGCGCGGCGGCAACATGCTCTTGGGCAGCGAATTGTAGGCGCCAGTGCCCACAGACTGTTGCTGCAGCTGCTGCTGCTGCTGCTTGGGCGGATTGAGCAGCTTGATTTCGTGTAAGTAGTCGAATTTGCTGGCATTCCCGTAGCGCTCCCGGAACTCGCAGATGTTGCGCATTAGGTCGTCCGCCTGGAGTCGGGCCAGACCCGCGGGCAGCGTGTTGTAGCTCACCTGGCGTCCATTGCAGGCGGGCTCGAGCATGTGCGTCTCGGTGGTGGTCTGGCCGCCATCTAGCTGATCCAGCGACTTGCTGTGCCGTGTGGTTGGCAACGTGGGCTCATTGCCCTCAGTATCGAGATCCTCCAGCAGGCCGGTGACCGAATGCCTGGACAGATTGTGACGCAGGGCAATTGGCTGAGCCTCCTTGTTGCTGGGTGCTATGGTCAGGCTGGCCTGCAGCACCTCGCCGCCCAGCGCGAAACGGGGCGTGACCACGCATTTGGCATGCGGATGGGCCGGGCCGTTGCCGTTGCTCGGCGGATAGTCGTAGTCGAAGTGACAGGCCAGGCAATCCTTGGTGCCGTTCAGGCTGCTGCTCGAGTGCGTCTTATCCGGCGTCTTCTTCTTGCCCGTCGCGGTTGTCTCCTCCAGCTGCGGATCACTGCCGGAGCGACGCCTCGCGTAGCCGGCACCGGGCACCACATACCGATCCTCAAATATCAGCGGCAGCGACGCCGCATCTCCATCAATGGGCGTGCAGTGGACGGGCAGCGGCGGCAGCGACTGAAGATAGCGACTGCGTCTTGCCAGCTCCGCAATGCCCGCATAGCCCTGGCAATGACCCGGACTGCTGTTCACCTCCAGGCAGCCGGCGGCCGCATGTCGAGGCTGTTCCAGCACAAAGAAACCCTCGGCAAAGCGGCGCACCCGCAGGATGTGGTGCTTGCGGGCGAGCAGGGTGTGCACCGCCGTCGAGGATCGAGAGGCGAGCAGCACACGGCGCCACCAGAAGATGTTCTCCGCGCACAGCTGCGCTATGTCCGAGTTGGCCAGCGTGGCAAAGTCATCCTCCGCCTCGAGCAGCTGTAAGAGAAACGTACGAATTAAGCAGCTGCACCCGGTGCCTATTCCCACTTACCTTGGCCTGTTCCAAGAGCTGCTGCAGACGCTCCCCCGTGTCGTTCTCCCTCAGCGGCGGTGAGCCAATCTGTGAATTGATGCTGGGCGGCAGCACGGTACTGAACTCGTTAAGGGTCGCCTTCAGCTGCTCGATGGCGCCGAGCAGCAGGCAGCAGATGTCCCGATGGATCTGGCGGGACTGCAGCAGACGGCCGGTGGGCCCGCCGCTGCATTTGGTGGTGCCGCCAATCTGTGGCCCAAAGAACACCGCCTCCAGTGGGCCCGGCGAGGTGTTCCCACGGCAGCTCAGCTTACCGGCACTCCAGGGCTTCGAGCTGCGCGGCGCGCTGCAAAAAAAGAGCAAATGTGATCAGAAATGGTTAATTCTAAGGCAAAAAAAGAACTACAGTCGGTTCATGAACTGAACCCACACACACATAGAAAGCGCTGCAAAACTGGCGACTACACCAACTACGAGTGGATGAAAGTAGAGAGATGCCGATACGTTTATTGAATCTTACCATAACTTTACAAATGAGAATATGCTTTTCCTGTACCGGAACCCGGGTACGTTTTGTAGTCGTGTGTTAGAGTCGTTCCATTCGTTAGATTGTATATATATTTTGTATGGGGTTATATACGATATTGATTTGGTTTTCGATTGGGTTACATGTTGAGATTAAAATATGAAATAAATGTGGTGAATTGAATATAAACAATAACAAAAATGCTTTCGTTCTACATTTCGGGCATCTACCAAGATTGCACACGCAAATTTTCGCGGCTCGAAACGAAGCCTCATTCTTAGGTTCGGTTCGTGAATCTACTTAGATTCTCGATTCGAGCTTTGATCCATAAATTGTTTTTTTTTTAAATTAAAATATATTACACTAAAAAGGACTTGGGATCTAGATTTCCTCAAGTGCTGAGCTCAGAATTTGATGGAATATATGTTAATTCGTAATTTGACAAATTTCATAATTTAGAAGAGGTAAGGTTTTCATTGAGCCAAGTTAACTTGGATCGATTCAAAGCTTGGCTTGTTCAAATCAATTTGGGTTTGCAATCTTGATTGATTTAAAAACTAAATGGTCTTAAAAGCTATTTTATCTAAAGGGACAAACTATAAAGTTGGAATTAAAAGAGCAGCTGCCAAATTAAAGGTAAATTCAACTTAAAGTTAAAACAACTTTAAAGCATTTAAATACTTTTAAGCTGGCTTTTCTTGAATTCTCTTTCAGTTTCGCAGGTGGATAATCAGGCAATTTACAGCTCCCAGCCGGAAGGTTGCGATGAAATGTAATCAACATCAGAATTTACAGCAGACAGGGGCCAAGGTCGACAAGGAATCTCAATTCCAATGGGCTAATCTATTATTCATTTGCTCCAAGCTCGCTGCTTCAGGGATTTCAGTGGGCGATTTTAGGATTCGTATTAATAAATTTGGCAAGACTTGGGCCTATTTAAATGCCAGGTGGGGGGCACAAGTTTTACTTTTCGAGCGATACAAAATATAGTTTAAAGAGTTTGTTGCACTAAAAACTTTGGCCACAGCTGCCGCTGCCTCCCCGCTCAAGTTATGAGAGGGGGAGGAGGAGTGGGTGGGCGTGGCATATACAAACTTTTGCTGAATCAAACGGCGTAAAAATTGACTGCGCCATGGTTGCAGTAAGTTGCTGGCTGGCAGCAGCAGTAGCGATGCCACGCCCCTGCCATGAATGCCGCCCAAATGCTGCAGTCTGTTGTTGCAGTTGTCGCCAAGTTTCGCCCGTCGGTCGAGAAGAGGAAGACAATTGAAATACGAGAGTCATTAAAATATGTATGCACACAAAACCAGAACTGGAAAAGGAGCACGAGTAGGAGCAGGAGCAGGTGCAGGTGCAGGAATAGGAGCAGGAACCAGAGCCGGGGTTGCTTTTGTATAATACTGTTACCCGTCCAGACAGCGGGGCTCAGACGGTGGGTTGTGTGCAATTTTAATGAGTTGGAAATGATTTGTGCGGGCAGGCGCTGCTGCTGGTGCTCCAATCAAGCGCAGCAGGACACGCAGGACATCAGGCCACAGGAGGATAAAATATATATGACTATCAACATTGACATTAGAGATCATGTTGTCAACTCTACTTTGCATGCCTGCCCAGACATACTCGATGCCCCGCCCCCTGCTGCTGCTGCACTCACTTGATATATGGCTGATGCAGGGCCACGAGACTGGCATGAATGCCCACACTGATGGCCGCCAAGTGGAAGTAGTCGAACAGCACGGGCAGATGATAGTGCAGGCCGCGTCCCGGATGAAAGTTGAGCTGCAGGTTGCGTGTGGAGGCCAACGTCAACTGGCTGGTGCCATTCTGTTCGCCGAACCACAGTTCCAGCTGCAATGAGAACTCAGCTCGTTCGATGGACTCCTTCAGGTGACGGCTGTCAACTGCAAGCAAGACAGAAACAGATAGAGAAAGCAATGGAGAGAGAGAGAGAGGGAGAGGGAGGTTTAACTTAATGTTGTCATATGCTCAACTCGAGCAGCAAATCCCCAGCTCAAATATGTAAATGTACTCTAGTTGGGTGTGCCCGACCAGCAGATACCCTGAATCCAGCATCGTTACCCAAAATCTAACTACCTTCTACATACTGTGGGAGGTATCTAAAAGGTCATATACAATGCTTACAAACCATGTCTAAGGAATCGATATTTATCGATATGATGAAAAAGGGAGAATGTATCGAAATAGATAATAAATTCGTATATATATATTCACATATTTTTCTCAGACAGAGTGATACGACTAGATCGACTCGGCTTCTAGTCCTTTTTCAGGAATCAGAAATCAGGAATATAGATTTTTCGGCTATACCCGATTTCTTCCAGCTGTTACATACATCTGCACAAAAACATGATGCTCCTTTGACCCGTTCGTGTATAAAAATTAGTTGAGGCATTTACAGTTCTGGCGTGTCCGCATATTTCAGATGCTTCTGCGCCCACATTCGATTTAGGCTAGTTTCCCCTACCAGGCACCAGATATGCTCGATGCTCCATTAACATTGATTATCGGTTTTCGCTTAGGCCATCGTGTGGCTTGGCCACAAACGAGCTTCAAGTGTGTTAACACAGTTAATGTTGTGGCAGGTAAACTAATCAATGCCGCAGATATGTATGTGTGCATGTGTGTGTGTGTGTATATTTGTATGTGCTTGAGTCATAAATTCATCAAGGTATTAACAGAAACTAAGCGTAAATCTCGTTACTAATACACTTTAGCTGGCCACAGTCCATGTCCTTGCTGTCATTTAATCAAATTCAATTCACTTTACACGTCGATGCGTCTTTCTGGCCAGCTATATGTTGGCCAATACACACACACACACAGACACACACAGCCTTAAGCTGTACGTGCATCAAACTCTTCTGTGTGTGGCATAAAATTCATTTGTTTTCATAAAATGGGGATTTGCGCGGCTAAAGCCAAAGCCAAGTCTGACTTCAGTCGCATTCAAAGGCAATAAAAGAAAAGTTCTCCCTAAGCTGCCGACGCATTTCTCCTCCCACCTCCCGCAACCCGGGCCACCCACTGCTGGCTGTCTGAGATTTGTTTGGCCTCCTTGGGCATTGCTCATACGCCTCGTGTGACAATTGCCTGACAGGTTTTTGTTTGTGTTCTTTTCTTTATTTTTAGTTTGGTTTTTATTCAGCATTTATTTCATTCTGCTGGCATTTTTTTTTAAACGCTGAGCTCTTTGAGTTGAGTGTGTGGCAAATCCCCTAGCAACTTTTGTGGCATAGTTTATCATGCTGCTTTATACTGTTGCCCGTGACAATTTGCAACACGCTGCAGTTGCAGCAACGCACACCTGTGCGTCGAGACACGTGTAAAAGAGATAAATTGCATAGCTACTCGAAGCAGCGCTCTTGTGTGGAGCTCTGCTTAGGCACCCTAGAAACATATCCACATCAACTAAAACAAAAAGCTGTCAAGTAAAAGTAACTTTTTTGTTTTCCTGCGGTTATTTCTTCTTTTTTTCTTTTTTTTGTTGCCTTTTGTTGCTGCCACTTGACAAGCTGCTGGCTGTTGTGTTTATAGAAGGACCCATCACAAGCCGACAAAACTTGTCCAAATGAATTAATCACTTTACCCAACAGCCGAGTGGATGATGTTGCTTCAGCAACAACAACGTGTCGATGAACTTGAGCCCAACACATCGAAGAGGCAGCCCCGAGAAGCTCGGGTATCTGATGAAGTCTGGCAAGTGCTCATCAGCCAACTATGTGAAAGAGGTAGCCAGGAGGGCTGAGCAAGGGGGCAGCTTATAAGATTGAAATACATTATATAATCACTAAGGCGTACCTTGATAATATATTAAGCTTTTATGTGCCAAGCATAAAGAAATATTACATACAATTTCATTTGTATGTGTCTCCTCTAATCAGTAACTATTTATTTCAAATGGACATTCTGTGAATGGCCTTTCATAAATGTCAAAAGAAACTGTTTAAAGGATTCAGTTAAAACTGATTGAAACTAAGTTAATATAGATAATCTATTTAGAATCTAGTTAAATGTATGTATATTAATATTTTGAATATGTAGTAAGAAAAGCAATATACAGACATAATATTTCAAAAATAAAGTGTTTTATTAGCAATCGATTCCTAAATAGCCATTTTGAAATTGAATATCAGTCTCCTACCTAGCTATTTAAAGCTCTTTTCAAATATTTTTTTAAATTAAATTGATGTTTAAAATTGAAATTTGAGCTTTTAGTTTTTATTACACAGTGCACATAAAAACGAATGCATGAATATATAAAAATAAATAAATATCTATATTCATGCAAATAGGTTCTACTTGCAGAGTATTTATTTTTATTTTCTTGCCGTAGAATGGCGAACAAAACATTTTGGCAGCGTTTGCTTTTGTTGTTGTATTTTTTTTTTATTATATTTATTTATGATTATTTTCCTTTTTTATTGCCATGCCCCCATTTATGAGCGCCTTCGGCGACGCCCTGCCCCTCTGCCATGCGACCCACGAAATTGACTTTCAATTTGTTTTCCATTTTTGCGCCTGGTTAGCTTTTTATGCCATTTTCATATTGTCTGTCTTTTTGTTTTCCTTCTCTTCTATTTTTTCATATGCTTATCTGTGTTTTTTATGCCTTTGATGCTCGAACTATTGTTGGGTGTGAGCTTGCAAATGCCTTCAAATCAGGTCAATGCAACGGGCAAGTTCTTTGTGTCCTTTGGTGCAAATTCAATTTAAAAGGCAACAAAGTAACGAAAGAGGATGAAAACTATTTTCAAAGGGCTGCCAACTTGGCCAGCTAATTGCCTGCGTGTGCATGTGTGCGTGTGTGCGTGCATGCGTCTCAGGGTGGGCGTGGCTCTATTGGAATGCAGTAAATGCAATTAGAGAGCCGATGCCAAATTAAAGTTCTAGCTATAACCACTTCTATATACTTGTGGCAACTAAGTATAAAGTATCCTATATATAGCTGCGCAGCACTGCTGCCAATTCAGCGGTTTTCTAGCTAACTTTTGGATACATACAGTCGTGACTAATTTGAAACTGATTCAACTATTTTTTATGCTGGATTCTGGCACTTTTTTGGTCATTTCCCAGAGCTGCAAACTTTTGCCCTGTTGACACGCGACAGAGCCAAAAAGTTCGTGCAGCGTCAAGCATTTGATTTATTTATCGAATTGAGTAGCAAACTTAAACTTTGATTTCAACTTTTGTGGCTCGACGGGGCGCCAGCTGTGCCGCCCGCCAGGAATGCGGCAGTTGCGTCTTGGCACTCGTGCCACATGCCGCAAGTGCCCAAAGTGCAGATTATTTTGGTCGTCTACTCACCCAACAGATGACTGCGAAAGTGTATGACATCGCGCAGCGGCACCTCCTCGTTGCGATAGAGTATCTGGAATATACGCGAGGCGCCGCTGCCATTGATTATGGATGCGGATGTGCAGCTGCCGATGCCCGGCACTGTGGCAGCATCCACCGGCGAGGCCAGTTCATGTTCACGCTCGCTATCACTGGCTGGCTCAATGGAGCCGGCGCCGTGTCCGTTGGCTCCATTCGGTTTGATATTGCTCGATTCGGGTATGCTTGTCTCCACCTGGACGGGTAGGCGTGGCGAAACGCGCAGGCCGCAGCGCACCTGGTAGAGTCTGCAATATATATAATGGAGAGAGGGGGAGAGAGAGGGTGTGAGGGGCGGGTGCGAATGGGCCATATTAATCATCAATTGATACAGACTTGCACATAAATTACGCATACGCCGCGTGTAACGCCTGCAAATATGCTCAAACAAAGCATTATTAATGTTTATTTTGTGCACCGCTTGGTAAAGTACAGTTATTACATTTTAAACTCTCGTTCAATTTACATAATAATTATTTCATTTGTTTAAATATTCACATATTTAAAGCTCACGTACACACATTATGTTTACCATAATTAAAAAATTGCCGCACACAATTGTTTTAAATTTATTCCGTTTTTCTACAATCACTCTCTTTTTTTCTCCTGACATCTCTCTTTCTCTCTGTGGAATTGTTTATGTTTTTGCGCAAATTTCATGCGAGCTTCTGCTTTTTTCATGTATTTTTAACACACGAGCTGCCCGGCAATGGCCGCCCCCCTACTGCCCCTTTTTGTGCTCTGTCGGCCACTCGTTCATCTTCAAGGGCTGCCGTCAACAGCAGCACAAAAAACCAATACAACAACAACAGCAACGAGAACAAAAAACAACAACTGCATGAAATCGCATAAACACATTGCTGACAATTAGTGTGTGCTACGGTTACTGCAATGCCACGCCCACTGTTGATTGCCTGTGCAACCTTTATGTTTGTTTATATTTCTTATATTTGTATTGGCATACACGCTGTGACTGTGAAAAGAGTATATTAGTTTGGTCTGACTGTTCATACTCTCAGAAGAATTTATACCCAACAATTAGAAAATCTTCTTAATTGCCTCCTAAAATCGTTCCACAAAATGGTATCTGACTTGCGCTGAGAGCGTGTATTTTGCAGTCGGTTGCACCCGACTGAAATATTTATACTTGTTTTTCTTATTGCATTGCGTTCCGTTTTGTTTGCCCAACACTTCGAGGGCGTAAGTTTCCTGTTTCTGTGTAATCTTTTAAAGCTTCGAGCAGAAGCTAAGAACCTTTTTTTTCGTTTTTACAGGTGCATATATACATTTATATTACGGATTCGTGTGAAATAAATGAATCGCACTCATATGTAGCTGTTCCGCGTAATATATATGAACATTGACCCAGTTTTTGCTGAAGATATTTGGCGTACTTGCCAACATATGTGCGAGTTTTTAGGTCTATTGCAACATTTAACATTGCAAAATGCATTTAAATATAAAATTACGCAGAACTCTTGCAGGTATTTCGAGCTGCCAAGCTACTTATGTATGTATGCATCACATTACTTATCGGCTAGAAATTGCAAATATATAAATATATATTTTATTGCTTTAAGAAAATGTTTTCTAAAGTCTTTTCATTCGCTGTTTAAGTTAAGGTGATTTCCCTGTGAAATACATTTCTGATGAATTCTTTTATATTTAGTATTCAATTTGAATAATATTTTGTGATAAAAGTTGCCGAAATTATTTTCGTAGCATTCCAGTACATATTCTACCTTTCTCTAGACTACTTACTGCCTAAAACTTAACTAAATTTCATATTTGAAGATATTTTTGGTTTAATTTTCCGACTAATATGCACGATCTCAATAAATATAATCACATAAATATTGTAAGAAAATATTAGTTAAATTTTCAGAAATGTAGAATATGCCTAAAAAAATGTTTCACTCTTATTCTCATTATTGTATAATCTACCATATTATATACGTATTTTTTTTAATGATTTAGTTCAAATGTATATGGCTTAGCCCAAAAGCAGAAACAACTTGGGTCCCAACCATTGCAATTGTCGAACCATATTTGGTAGATGCCAATTTTGGTTAGAGATCAACTTTAGCCCGAATCTTGAGTTTGAAAATAAGGACGGCATGCCTTGTTTTCAGTACAACGGGCATGTACAACTAAAAAGTGCATTAGTTTTGAAAATGCACAAATATAATTAAAGCATTGCGTCAGCTTTATAAATAAATTTTACACGAGAACCAGATTTTTCTAATTTAACTTGGCCTGTCAAGACTTGAAATACTTACCCGCGTTGAAAGAGGTCCACATTGAAGAACTTGTGCAGCTCAACGGAGAACTCGATGGTTGCCTGAAGATCACCCATGGCTACGGGCGCTTCTGTTCCTGCTGCTCCAGCTACTCTTTGGCCCAGTGGCAGACTCCTGGACAACTGCGGCTCAGGTTGTCATTCAGTTTGTTGGACTGCGGCCTGCCGTTTCGGGGTTGTGGGTGCGAGCGCAGCTGCTGAAAACTGTGACAGAGAATCTGAGAATGAGAAATCGAGAATTAGTTGGCACTGGACGCCGGGGCAGTTGCGAGCCAAGTTCGATTAGGTTTGCACAAACCGCGCTCCCAATATATATTGCACACTATTGGCAGCTTGAGCAATTGATTGGCTTGTAATTGTGCAGAAACTGTGCCAAGTGGGTTTAGCCGGGTGGTCGGGGGTGTCAGTGAAACTGCCAGCGGCTGAGGTTAGCAGGTCAGCCACAGTGAACAGCAGCAGCTGTAACAGCAACGACAACAACAGGAAAATGGGAACCCCGCGACGGTGTCACAAGAATGAGGCCAAAAGCGAAGGAAGACAAAAACCCCGACGACAACGATGGATAAAACTTTTAATCGTCCAAACAACAAAAGCCTCTCTCGTGTTTTTTTTTTCGTGCCCTTACAGAGGGTGTTACAATTTTTTGCACGTATTGTGCGACACACAGAAGGAGACTTTTCCAACCCCATAAAGTAGAAAGTGAGCAGCAACAACATTATATAGTCATGTCAGTCTGTCTGTCTCACTGTAATATTCCCAGTTTTACAGCTATTATTTTGATAGGAGCTTCTTGTCGGAGTCAACCGGATTGAACTACTATATCAAAAATTAGTTAAAGGAATCACCACAAAAGGTTTGGTTTGACTAAGCTACCTATATATGCGCATCTTATCTGATTAACATTGGATCCATATTTCATAGGAATAATCTATTTCGAGTAGAACCGATCTGATCTGTACTTTAAATAGCTGAAACGAACGGGGCGTTAATCAGCTTTACTATGCGAGCAAGGTCTTACGACCAAAGTCTTTTCTCCTATATCATGAAAAATGTAGCTGAGCATTTGCGAGTTTCACTGTTTGACTCACATATTCGCTTGGAATTGTCAATAATTTTCTACTACTATATCATATAGCTGCTGTGGGAATAATCGGTTGCTTTATCTGACTGCAAGGGTATGTCATGTTCGGCTTGTTGTTATTACTTGTTCTTGTTGTTGTTATTGTTGTGGTGGCTCTTGTTGTCAGTCAAGCGCAAAACCCACGCAGCGACGCCCACAATAACATTAATGTGCTGCAGTTAATGCCGCAGTCAGTTGTTCTGCCTGCTTTACTTGCTCTATCTCTTTCACTCTCCCTCTCTCTCTCTCTCTCCCACTCTCTCTCTCTGTCACTCTCTCACACGCTGGTTGCAGTGGGTCAAAGGCTGCCCTCGCTTGTTGACACAATGGTAAAAGACGTTGATGAAAGAGGCGCCGGTTACATTCAATGTGTGTGCGTGTGTGTGCTTGTGTGTTTGTGTGTGCTGGCCAGCCCCTTTGTCAATGTGGGTTAACCAGACTGCGCCATTTTCTAAAATGAAGTATATTAACAGCAGAGCAAAAGAGGAAGAGTATGCAAAGGTAGAAGCAGCAGCAGCAGCAGCTGTAGCACCTGACCAGTGTTGCCAACTGTCGCTTTAAAAAAAGTAGCTAAATCTGATAATAATAATAGCTAAAAGTAGCTGAAGCAGTAACAAATGTCGCTAAAAGTAGCTGCAACCGTTTAAAAATAGCCAAAATTTTGGGCATCTGCAAATTACAACAGTTTTAGGCTGACGGAAATTAGATGAATTAGCAAAACGCCGTCTGACGAGTACAAGTGATGACGACATGTCCTTAGACACATTCGCAGCCTAGTTGTCACAATTTTGATTTATTTTCTCATTAGGCGTAAGCTATGCCCCAGCCAGCCCTTACAAATGTCGCTTAATATTCACTCAACATGCATATGAAATTTAATGCCAAGTTTACGGAATGCGAATTTTCGGTTTTGGGCGAGTTGCTAAATTAAAAGCAAATTTGCTGCGACTCGAAAGTTTTGTCAATGTTGTGCGTTGAGCGTGGCGCGTGCTTTGCTCTTTCAGATGACATTTTTAGCTTTTAGCTCGAGCTCAAAACAAACATTACCCATACGCAGTGTTGTCTGTTTGGATGGGAAATGTGCATATACTTTGGAACTGGGTCAACTAAAGTTTCATGCGAGCAGACAAGAGCAGGAAGAACCATAACAAAATACACGCAGCAACATTATATAAAATACAAGTGTGCACAGACTGAGAAAGTGCACGACTAAAAGATACCCTTTTCGAAGCTTAGCAACATTTATTCGTAATAAGACTCCCAAGGGATTTCGAAATAAACCAGAGCGTCCTTTTTAAAGTAGTCTCCATATTTTGGAGTTTTTTAGACAGATAGCTAAATGGGCTTGGCCTTCTTCAGCCTGCTTCATAATTATGAACAAATACTGGCATACCCTTCCTTCAGATCGCACATAAGGACAGGGCATAATAAGACAGCAGGGACAATGGGGGAAACTTTTTAAAAGCTCATCCTGCACTTTGTAATGGGCAGCGGCAATTTTTAAGTTGAGTTTTGGGATTTGTGTGAGCATTTTGCCAACAATTGAATACTTTTTAGAGGCTTAACAATGCGGCCCCAACGAAATGCGGATTTTGGGGCAAGTAAGTCAGCCACAAAGCCTATAAAGTTGATAGTTTGAAGTGATTTGCAAACTTTTTAATTGGAAAACGAGTGGCATCTAATCAAATAATAAGTTCGTTCGTTTGTAGACATGTTTTATGTAATTCCTACTGTCGTTTCTCAGTATATTCACAACTTTAAGCATAAGCTAAGTACACTCGCTCAGCTTAAGCACTAAGTTCCCATCGAGTACAGATAAAAAGCCACTTGAATCAATGGAACAAAACAAAACACTTTGCCACAAAGATACAACAGGAACACAGCGGAACAGTGCGACTCAACTAGGACAAAGGATCTGCACTTGAATGCGAATCAACAATGATAATGATTATGATAATAGCAACGGGCATGATGTTGATGATAATGAGCATCATGCCAAAGACATTGACTGCAGTGGAAGACAGAGACTGGCGCGGATTTTTCTAATGTCCTGTCAATGACAACGACCCCCCAATAAAAAAGGAAAAATCAAACCGTTCGTGCTTATCGTGATAATGATGATACCAAATGCCTCTCGGAGTGGCACGGAATCGAGCGCCGAAATGGCCCTGGCCATCATCGTACCACTCATTTATCCACTGTCTCGCCAGCTGCCGCAACTTTCTCTGTCTATCGCTCACGTTTCGGGCACCCCGAAATTATCGCCTTTTTTCTGTCTGGTCGCCCCGCCCGAGTCCTGCTTGGCACGGCCTGGGCTTGGGCGTGGGCGAGGGCGAGGATGTATCTTGCGTCTACGTACGGCCCGTCAATGGCAGAGGCGCGTGAGTGTGGGCCCTAGATGCTGATAAGAGTCGGTCCATTGCCTCGTTTTGTGGCACGTTTGTTTTCTTTATTCTCTCTTTTTCTTGAAAAATAGTGCCATGAAGGCTCACTCACACACACAGACTGTGTGTGAATGTGTTAATGTCTAAGGTCATCTTCGTCCTTTTTGTCGATGGGCTCTTGATAAATGAATAGCTTTCATGTTCATATTTCAATTTAATTCTGTGCGTCGGCCCATTTCCGAATCGGATTCATGGCACTCTCTTTTATTTTGGGCTAAGCAACAGCTCTCGGCTATAAATTCAATTAAATTTCCAATTTTTTTTATTGTTATTTTAATTAAAACTTTCATAGCTTCGTCTGCCAGTCAAATCTAATCAGTTTAATGGAAAATTGTTTACATATTGCTTGATTGAAAATTTGCCAACATAACCAAAAACAAGATCAAAGTATTGGCGAGGGCATCAGAGAGAGAGGAGGCGAGGGATAGAGAGAGTAGAAGAGAGAGGGAGGGCGGGGTGTTGAATCTTGTTTATCTCCGATTTTTGCATCATTTTCAACAGCATGCAATTTGTCAAGTTCATGGATTTCCCATAGCTTTTCCTGGAAAAGTTGGCAACATTCGAATATTTGTTCTATTTATATTCTTTTTGGGGTTCCCTTTCAGCTGCTGAGGTAATTTGAGACAGTTTTGTCAACTTTGCTTGTTATTTTTATTTTGTTGGAGTCCTCTTTTTCGATTTCCCTGTTAGCCACGCCCCTTTGAGCGCACTTCTTACCATGACAACGGGGGGCCCAGCCAGACAAACAGGAAATAGACAATTTTGTATCAAAGCTGCGGCAGACATTTCAACTGTCCATCTTCCCCTTCCTATCTCTCTTTGGCCCTCTCTAGCTCTCTAGCTATGGCTGTAGCAGAGATCAAATGAAATCGCTTTAAATTATTTAATAAAAAGCCAGAAATGTATCCAAAGCCTTTGCATTTTGTATGCGCCAGCTCAGACACTTTCCCAGGCATGTCATAAAGAATGCCCTCAAGTGCCGCCGTCCGTGAGCATGAAAATAATTTCCCTGTGTCCCCTTCCCAACCTCTTTCACCCCGTGCCGTTTATGCACAATGAAAATTGCCAACAGTTGCAGCTGTCGGGGCAGCCAAAGGGTTGCGCCGCACGTCTTGGCCAAGTGCATCGCGTGCTTATGGCCATGCCAGGGGGTGACTCGGCGCCAAAGCTCACGTGCGCGCTGTCCAAAGAGGCCAAAGCGAGAACAATACAACAACAATAACAACAAACACAACAACTCAAGTGTGGCAACAACAACAACAACAAGAACAACAACGAGAGGAACAACAGCTACCAAATGAAATCGGGCATGAGAACCAGACCAAGTGCAGTCCGGGAATGGGCAACCGTCTGCGAGCGTGTCGCATTACCAGCCCGGAAAACGTCTAGTCACGTGGTCAGCCGGCAACGGGAGAGGGGATTGGAGTTTGAGCCGAAGCATCTAGAAGTTTGCGAACTTCATATGTGAGGGAAATTGTAACTTATTTATGAATTGAGCTATGGAGATGCTGCAAGACAGATGCGACGTGAGTTGATAGAACAGAGAAGGGACATTTTTAAAAGTAAACTTAGTTTTACTTTAAAAGAAATTATTTTTTTTACGCAAAGGTCTAAAGAAATTGCAGCTCTAAGGAGCATATAACTGCAAGTCGGGCTTGAACCGAGCTGGTTTGAGCCTGGAATCCCAAATAACGTTTAACTGTTGACTGTAGCTTGAACCAAGCCAATTGTCCATAAAACGAAAATGAGCTAAGAAGAAAGACAGAGTCAAATAGTATATTAAAATATAAATAGATTAAGATAAGGCTAACACCATAGGAAACTATGCCAGCAGATCTTTAAGCGTTGTAACTCCCAGCTAAACGAGTTACGCGTGGTAAGACTTAATTAGATGCCTCACCGAACAGGACATTTTATGGGTGCAACCAGCAACCACTTGAGTCCCTGCTTAGCCCACTCACAGCCCTATCGTGACAAAGCACGACAAGTTGGCATTGTGCGCACCTGGCTCGGGGCAGAACTGGTTGGAGGTGCAACTTGAATTGGCAGCAGACCGTAAGGCCGGAACGGGGCTCGAAATTGAATTGCGACTTTTTATGCTACCTGACATCTATATATGGATGTGTATGCCGTGTGTCTATAGAGACGGGAAGGGGCTTATAATGGCAACGGGATATTTCATTACATTTGTGCATGCATGAGTGCTGAGTGCCGCCTGATAGATGAGGGCGGGGCACGCCCACACAAGCACATGCACAAACACACACACACACGCACACATGTATGCAAAAAAGGCAACATTGTTGAAATGTGCAAATATTGGCTCAAGTGGCGGCAATAAAAGAGTCGCTGGTTCTACGCCCGAGTGCTGTGTGGGGGCGGAAAAAGGGGCGGTTGCTTCTGCTCATGTTTCCATTATGAGATGTCCTCCAATGTGTGTGTGTGTGTGTGTCGCTTGGGATGCCTTGGCTCAACAAGGCGCAGCCTCTTTCTGTGAGCTGCGCGCAATTTAACATTAAATTAGTCATGCATTTTGTCGCAGCCAATTTCAATTTCCATTGATTGACGATTCGAATTTAGGTTCGAACTACCCTGACCTTTGGCCAGCTCACCGCTCACCGGCCAGCATGGCCCCCCTTTTTGCATAATTGCAAGCTGTCCATGTCATCGCCATATTTCATCGGCTGTCATGGATTTGGATGGATGCGCATAAAAATACAACATAATATAACATGCTTAACCCATGGTTGCCCGTCATGTTTGCATCTGGCCGTGGCCGTTTTGTGGGCCGAGCCAGGGGTTGGGGCGCCCTTGTGGCTTGTGTGGCAGTTAACTTTGCCGTGACATGTGGCAAGCATAAAAGAACCGTAGAATGTCACGTTTGTTGTGGGCCGAACATGACGTCGAGTGGACAACGAAACGATGATGGCGACGACGACGACGGCAAGCATGACAGCTACATGTGACTCACACGATAGGTGGGAGCTAACATAGGAGCAAGAGGGATGGGGGATACAGAGGGATGGCTATGTCAACACATTGCTAAATTACACTAAACAACAAGTTAGGATAGGTTGAGGTCCTTAAGTCTTAGGCTGATAAGTGTGGAATTCCAAAGGAAAGAAAAGCTAAAAAAATAGTCAAGTAAATCAAGCTAAATGTAGCTAGAGCTGATGAAAAATATTCCTTAAATAAAAGTTTCAGAGCTAAGGTGGGGTTGGGTGAGGGGTTAGGTGTTTAAATTTTGGTTACAATCGCTTGAAGCAAACAACAAAAATAGCTTAGATAATATATAATAATGTTTTGGGTAAGAAAATTCGACAAACTGGACCTAGCCTCAGCTGTTAAATATATTTAAATATATACATGACATTTAAATATTAAATGTCAAAACAAAACTTAGAATTTTTGCTTCAATCATTAACCCCTAAGTATTTAAGGTATGTGTAGAAATTACAGAAATATTTCCAAATTAGCATTTTAGTCTGCCTGATTACGGACAAAGTCCATAATTTTGCTGTCTGGTGTCTGAGGGGGGAATTTTATTGGTTGACCGGCAACAAATTTTCCAAAATGACGGTCAGTTGGATGACCTTTAAATATGCGCCTTTTGTTTGTCCATTAAATGTGAGCTTTTAATTAAATGTCGCACAACGTTCAGGGTATACATATATACATATATATATATATATATATATATATATATATATTCTACGCACTTTGGCATATTTCACGTTTCACATAACGAGAGTTTTTCATTTTTCATTACATTCACGTATCGTTCTCTTTTTCATTTTCATTTTAATTTTATTTAATTTGTTTTTGTATTTTCGTTTTTCTTTTTTTTTGAGAGTGCTTTCGCCCTACACATTTTATTTGCGACGATTTTGCTTGGCAATGAAAATGTGGAAAATGTATTTTTAAAAAGTCAACGAAACAAACGCGTCGAATTATCTGTTTGCATTTGTATCTTTCTCTCTGTAGCTAATGCTGCTGGTATATAAGTATGTTCTAGCTGCGTATTTAAATGAAATATATTTTTTAAATTTATTTCTATTTTGCAATTTGCAATTAGCAAATGATTTCAAAATAATTGCGAACAACTTGCAATGATTTATTTATGTGCTGTTAAGAAATTGAATTTCGAATTCAAATTTGAAATGCGTGACTGCCGATTTTGGGTTAGTTTGTGGGTGGGTCGAGAGGGGGGTTGACGAACGGGTTGGGACGGTGCCCATTGAATTAATTGGGCTGCGATGAGGAGGACACTTTGGGCGCCGACCGTGCCGAGCTGTGGAAGCGTGGAGGCCCCAAAAACGGGAGTCGCACACACAAACGGGGGCGTCCTCTCGCTCACGAATTGACTTGTTCTCCTCATTGCTGCTTGCAGAAGCATTTTGCCCTAATTTTACTTTCTGCGATGTTATCAGGACATGCCACACAGACACTCACTCACACCACACACACACACACACACACGAACACACACATAAATAGCGACAAACCCACACAAAGAGCACGAACGAAGCGATTTCCTTTCCATTTTCTGTTATTTTTTTATTTTTTAAATCGCACCCGCCCACATTTAAACACCCTGCCATCCTCCGGGCCGCCCACATTCCGCTAACAATGTCATAATTTACGCACTTTTTCATTTGTTTGTCGTTTAAATGTGCTGCACGGTTAACATTTTGTTGGGTCCACGTTCACGTTCACGTCCACGTCTGCGGCTCGCGTCCCGTTTGCGGTCGCCTAATGAAAATCGAGTGGAAACCTCAACCGAAACTGTGGCAAAGCCCAAAGCAAACTCCGTTCGGTGCGTCGACTGTTTTCCGCCCGCTTATAGAGCGCGCGTCCGTGCCGGGAAAATGTCTACAATGAACTGATGACAGCGTCGCTGCCGACGGCGATGGCTACGGCTACGGCCACGGCTACGGCAACGGCAACGGCTGTCTTGCGCCGGACACAGAGTACGGAGCACGGAGCACGGAATGCGTCGTCGTTGTTGAGTTCGTGCGTTGCTGTCAGTATTAATGGTTGTGGCTATGTTTTGGTTAGCCCGATGCCTTTTGTAAATTATTTTGGCCAAAGAGATGAGAGTTTAAGAGACAGGTTAAGAGAGAGAGAAATGATTTTCGGTTCTCTTTACGTATGTACCGTGGGCTGCTGAGCTGTAAATTATGGCAAATAGTCTACGATTATATGTGAAATGTTTGACTATTAACTATTGTTAGTATTATGGGTAGAATTATTATTAATATTACTGATTTTAATTGTAATTCCTATTTATTTTAGCCTAAGTAGGACGCACTACTCAAAGAATGAGCTGAAACAGACACCCGTTGGTCCACTGACAAGCTCTTAAGCTGGTCTTAAAATTAGTATATATTGCCCATTTTGTTTCAAAAAAAAAGTCCCCTTATTTTTAATATTTTTAAAGTTAATGTTAAATAAAGAATGATATGGAATATATTTAAATAGATTAATAAAGCATACTATAGATTCTCAACTGCATGTGGAATTTTTTAGAGTTTCAATTGAACTTTAAGCAAAATTTTTAATCCAAATTTTAACGCACTTGTTGCCCATTTTATCATGGAAAGTAACTCCTACAGCCATAGTTAGCATACGAGCAGGATTCTCTAGAATATAGACATGTCTTAAGTGAAAGCCATGAGCTAATATTATAACATATATTAATTTCTAGATATCTTCATATACAACTTTTAAGACTTTCTTTTATTAAGTTTGTATTTAATATTTAATTTCTTGTGATACTTGCCTTCTCGATACTTACCAGCATATTTGCTCTTTAAATTTGCGTTTCCTCTTACGCATGCGTGAAACTTTTCTCGCTCTCTTTCTCATTCCGTCTCCCTCGCACTCTCTCTCTCTCTCTCTGTACCTTTCTTCTTCAGCCCTTTTGGGCGCATAAACAACAAACAGCCTCAGCCTTTAAAGGCGGCGCGTTGCACGTTTTCGCATTGTCTGTCCCGAGAGGGTCGTGACTAGCCCTTGCCGGCGGCGTGCAGCTGGACAGCTCAACAGCTGGACAGCCAGAGAGATAAACAGACGTTCCCTTATGCATTCACCTTCTCTCTCTCTCTCGCTTCCTCGCTCTCTACAGCTTGACTTGTTAAAGTTGGTTGCCTTGTCAAGCGGCTTCAGATGATTATAACTTATATCAGCATTAGTTGTGCTTAGTAAGCTGGCAGACGACAGGTGGCTGCATCCTCAGGAGCAGGTTACAAGGAAGAAGAGAGAGCGAGAGAGACTGAATGGAATGTAGAGCAAGAGAGCGTGCTGAAGAGAGAGCAGTTTGACGACAGGCACTTTCAATTTTATTTGCGCGCATTTTGGGGCCAATCTGATTATTGAGCGTTACTCATACGCACCATTGCACAGCATGAAAATGTCACATATAACTCCGCAAATGATTTTAGATTATAAATCGCACTACACTACACTGTTGTATATGTATGTATATATATAATTATAAGGGATGCATTTTTGTTTGTTTATTTTTACAAATGCCTACACGAGCGTATAATTTAATTGGTTTACTAGCTAAGCATCAACAAGAACTTAACCAAATTAATTAAATTATGTAAATAATTTTGTGGAAAATTTGGATTCGTATGGAAGTTAGATTAACACATACACAGCACAGCAAAAGTCAGTTGCCTTCACATACTTAACAACTAATACACTACACATTAAAACTACTAAATTTCTTCATTTTATTCCAGCTAAATAATTTGCCTTGTGTGCCGCATGTCGTATGCTTGATATCCTATATATATATCCTATATATATATATATATATATGTGTGTGTGTGTATGTATATATAAGCAGTTATATATGTTTATGCAGATATGTTGATCAGACGGGCTGCACCTCGCAGACAAAGTAGGTCTCGAAGCTGCAGGGTGAATCGTTCCATTTGAGACCTTTGCCATCGCGATTCCATAGCTCAAGGCAGTTCTCCTCCTCGCCATTCTCGTAGCGGAAATTGTTTGGTTCGCCGGCATTCCAATTGGTAAACGTAATGGGCCGTCCGGTGGCCATCCAAAAGTAGTTGCCCTCATCGGCCAGATCTGTGCCAGATATCCAGAAATGTTCGTGACCCAAGCCTGTGGACGAGTGCAATCACCGCAGACAGCGAGAGTTATAAATTATATGCGCACTTTTCATCTGGATTAAGCAGTCACTAATGGGCGTGGCTAAACTGCCCACCTGCCCACCTGTCCGCCTGTCCGTCTGTCCACATGGCACATTCACTTTTGTGCTCTGCAGCACAGAGATTTATGTTGGATGTCATGGAAAGTGCATCGAAATTGAATGCCCGGCCACATTTGCAGTCCATTGTCTGGCCCCCCAAACACCACCTCGCTTGCCCGTTGCCCATGTCTCCCTTTGTCAGCATTTTAAGTTTTGGGTTACCAACTTCCGTGTATTATGCACGCTAGAAAGTCAAAGCCCCCTTCCTCCGTGTTAGGCGGCAGTCCACTCTCAGAGCATTCCGTGACTTCAGCGGCTGCTTGAAAAGAGCCCATTCACTTACCAAAGTCGCGTATATGTTTCTCCAGTCTATCGTTCTCTTCCTGTGATGAAATGCTAGCCAAGTGCATGCCATGGTACCGGCAGTATTGTGTGGCTTTGAACCAATTTGCCTGCAAGTTGAAGAAATAGTAAATTGTGAGTGCCAAGCTATAAGCCGAACAGCAAACTTTACTGCGCTGCAGCGAAGCTTAAATACTCTTCGTTAGGCAATATAAAACGCGTCATGCTTCATGTGTATTAATAAATAATTCAAAATATAGAAAGATTTAATAAAACAGCTAATCAAATGCTAATTTTTAGGTTCCTTATAGGTTCCAGACCTGAACCGAGCAAAGGCACATTTTGACTGCAATAGTCAAGAATTTAAGCAAAACAAAGTCTTCAATATTATTAAGTAAAATAATAACATTTCTATTAACAGCATTTAAATTACAAATAGTTATCCCTTTGAAACATGCCCAAGCAACATGCCTAAGCTGGTGTAGGGTTTGACTGCCGCAAAAGTTTTTGGCTGCTTCAAAGAATTTGCCTACATACCAGAGTTCAGTTAAACACAATCCTTAACACGTCGCAGGCCATTAAGGCTGCCCCACAGCCAGCACACCTGTGAGGTGGCACGGGCTAGTGCTTTCTTTTGCTCATATGGCAAACTAATTGACTTCTTGGCGTCAGTGGAGCGTCCTTTTACAGCCCAATAAACACTTTCAGTGAACGTGCCACAACACAACAACAACAACGAGAACATTCTTCACGTCATGGGGATGTCGCGCGGAGAGGATACCTTCGCGAGGACAGGATGCTGCGGCGTCAGTTTGCGCTTTATTCGCGCACAATTACGGCTAATACAATTAAAGCAAAGTTAATGACGACGTCGATGTCGACACGGGCGGTAGACCGCAGAGCAAAGGCCTGACGAGTGCCTGCCACAGGACACGGGGCACGGAGGGCACGGCGGGCACAGGGTGCAAATGTGTGTATCGAGCAGGAGCACAGGGGAGGAGGTAGTTGCGTAATCGATTTAGATGCGCATCAGCTGCTGGTTGAAGAGCACTCACATGGACATACAGGAGGAGTTGGAATAAAAAATATATGCTGTTAGCCCAGCCACAGAATCAACAGGCAGAGGCTTGGCTAATTACACGTGGCCAGGTGTGGGTGCAGCAGGTGTAACCGAAAGCCATTAGTGTTAATCGAATATCAAATTGCAGTTATTGACATATTGAAATACTGGCTACAAACGGCACACGGCATATGGCCAAACTAAACCAAAGCCCGCGCTGCTTCTATGGCCAACATAAACGGTTTTGGCCACATCAACGTCATCCCTAATTGGCTGCCAGCTCGTAAGCGGAATTCGCAATGCGTGGGCGGGTTGGCGGTTGGCTGCCACAACACCCGGACCTGCCACGTTGCAAGCACTGCCTGTTAAATAATTCAAAATAAAACATAAAATGCTGACGACTTTTATTGACAGAGATTTGCAGCCAGGTGAAAGGCCACAGGCAATGGGAGCGGGTGGGGAACACATATGAATGTGGCAGCTGACACGGCGTTTAAGATCTGGATCAGTCATGCAATCGAATGTGGATTGTCGAGTGGGCAACTTGTGTCATGTGCCACATGTGCCACATGTGGACAACGGCAGTTGATGAAAGGATTGGCAGCAGGAATGATTGTTGTTGTTGTTGGGACAGTTCGATAGATATTATGTCATTATGCATTGCAAAAGAGAGAGTGGAAACTCGCCAGAAAAACTGACATAGAGAAATATAAAACTAATTTATAATGCATAGCTCTGTGAATAAGCTGGCGGCCTGCTTTGTCATGCGAAGTTATTTCTGCACGTCAAGTTTAAGTCAACGCTTTTTTTAACCCCTTTTCGCTCGTGGGAAAATTTTAATATTACGACACTATCAACACTTACACTCAGCTAAGTGGAAACTGTGCTATTGGTGAATCATGAACTTCAAGTATATCGGATAAAATAAAAAGAGATTCAACGGTATTTAGCTTGAGCACCTCTTAAAATCGATGGAACTCGAAAAATATCTTTGTCTTTGGAATTAATCAATTTCCACTTATTTTTCACAGTTGCATGTGGAATTTTTCGATGCCTAGCTTTTGCAGCTAGTTTAGGAATCAGTCAGTCAGAATGAACTGTTTAATCTAGCATTTAGATCTAAACATTGTAGAATTTGTCCACAATGAATTTGGAGAAAGATCTTTGGAAATGCATATAACCGGTTTTCACGTATTTTTCACATTTGCGCGTGGAATTTCAGCTCCCTTGCTCTTTCAAGCATCAGTCAAACAGTTAAAAATAGCATTTAAATCATAACATTTTATTATCTTTAGCATGTGCTGGCTTTTAATCAATAAGCGAATGTTCTTATTCCACAAATGCCACCGAATTCAATTTGCAGCAACTCAATTAAGTGGCAACAAACTGTTTGACAATTCTGTAAATGTCATTAACACATCGAATAGTGGAATCGATGGAGTTGCTCAATCGACTATTACCAGCTGCCAAGCCTTCAGAGCCCCTGCATCGTATAATCAACTGCAATTAGTGTCGCATTAAAAAAAACATCGCACAAGTCCGAATCCATTTGCTGACTGGCCAGTTGGCCGCCGCCTGCTGACGACGGCTGTATGATTTTTCTTGGTGTGTTCGTGCCGCAGGCAAATTAATTTTAATATTTGTTTTCTTTATTTTAGCAGTATTTGCATTTTGACACACGACGCGATGTTTATGGCATTGCGTAAGACACGAAACAAAGATTGAGGTATGCTAATTTATTCATGGGGCTTACAGCGATGCCTAATTGGGAATAGTCCAATAAATAAATGGAACATTTCTGAGAAAGTTAATAAACGAGAATCTGTTAAATTAATTCACGAGCTGAGATGATTTAGAAGGGGTTTCCAGGGAGGAGAGTTGTTTTACCGTTCTAAAGCAAATGTTTCTGTTCTGTATTTTATTATTTATTGTTTTTGTTTACATATTTATTTATTTTTTTTTTTGGTAACATGTTTCGCGTATCGCAGCACAACGCCACCTAATCAGCTGTGACACCTGCTCTTAATTAATGTTCGAATAATGAATACAATTCACAATCTAACTGTCGGCATGCTCACAATAGAAATGTTTTATTTGCCAAGCCCCCCTTCCCACTCCGCCCCTCTCCCTCTCGCAAGCACCCTGCGACTAACTAGTCACATATCATAAACAATGTGTACATAAAAATTAATTACTTTTTCGTTGCTTTTGACGTCGCTTTGCAGTTGTTGGCAACACTTGGTTTGGCTTTTCAAATAAAAAGAATCAGAATGAAATAATAAAAATAGGTTTTATAGACATCATTTAAAGTCTGAAGCCTCATCTCAGATCAAGCAGATTGAAGAGTTTCGGCTTGAGTTATTTAATTACAAAATGGAAATGTTTGGGCAATTTGCATGTGGAACTGGTTTAACGCTAATGCGATCCTGACTAATTGAAATATCGCTTACGTCATGCCAATTTTTTCGAATTCTTACTCTTAAACGTGGCCAATAATATCTGTGCCACTTTCATCTATACGAGCAATTAATCGTTTAGCAATTAAATGCGAGCGTTTTGTTTAATTCAATTTGTAGCTGTTTAAGTACCTGTTGCTTGGTATTGAGCTGCCAAATCTTTGGCTTACATTCCTTAAAATTCCATGAGAACTGACTTCGAACAGTGCCCCCATCAATCACCATCAATCTTTCTCCCCGAACAGCTGACCTTTGGGTGTCGTCTATAGCGGTCACTGAGTATCAGCTGTTATTTCCAGCTCAACAAGTACCAAAGCAAAAAACAAAACAAAACAACTTCCTCTACAAGCTCAGACAGATAAATCGTGTCAACTTTTCTTTGCTTTCCGAACATTTGAGCTTAAAACTAATTTGCTCTTCTGATTTAATATGATGAGATTTCACGGGCTGGCCGTTAAATAAGTTTATTAAATTAGCTTTTGGCGTGGCTTTAAAGTTCAAGGAGACTGCTTTTTATGGCACAGAAGAAAATTTATTGATTTTGTTTGAATGCACAACCGTTGTGAGTTATTTGCATACCCGTCTCTGTACGTCACACAGAGCGTCACATACAAAAAACGCGCCAGAGTCGCGTCGCAAACACACGCGTTTCAGACCTTTGACTAATATGTTTTTAATATGAATGGCTGCATGAATTATACAAATATTAAATAAACGTAGCTGTTGATGCGTGTCCAAGCACGTCAATCTGCCGCTTGGAACATCATGGTCGTAGTAGCGGGCATTTATTTAATGATCCAATGGCATTGATATCAGTTCTGAGGCTAAAGATATCAGAAGTCAATGATATCAAGAAGGTTGCCTCAGCCGAGCCGACTTACAGCCATATATATATATATATATATATATATATGTACACATGCACAAATGTTGCTTTCAAGTAAAAATCCTCTTAAGATCGTGTATTGAACTTTGTACTACTTAAGAGAAAATGTATTGCATTGTCTGTTGCAAGCGTCTTAAATATTGGCGCTTAATTTTATATGCATATTTGCCAACCGGCGGCTAAACTTAATGGCAAATGGCGAACCGGACTGGGGCCTGTCCGTTGAACCGTTGCAAAGTTGCAGTTGTATGTTTATGGTGCGGAATGCAGCTTACCTTGAAGAAGATGCCCAGGTAGTAGCGCTTCTCGCCCAGCTTCAGCAGCGGCATCGTCCATTTATTCGGCGTGTACTGCGACTCGTCCACACAGTTGGGGCAGTCTATAAATAAAATCAAGGAAGCATATCAATAAAAACCCGAACAACAAAACAACAACAGGCAACGATCTTTAAATATCAAGGTCGCGCCGTAAAAATTTACATACAAAAGTTAAACAGTTATAAAATGGTCTTAAAATATACAATTTACGATCGGAGGCTTAGCAAAAGAATATTTATATGCGCACAAATAAGTATAATCAGTATAAACATAATATACAATATAAACAGTATTTACAGTTATAATCAAAGATTCATAAAGCCTTACTTAACGACAGTTACAAATCTAAGTAAGGCTTCATTTGATTCAAAATACCTGCTCTTGCGAATTTCTGGTTTGTTCACAACTGATTAATTATTTGCCAAGAAGTACAACCATAAAAATCGCATTTAAATTATAAAAATTGTCATTTAAATGCTGTTTAACCACAAACAAAACTGGCCACGTCTAAACAGATCTTAAATTATGAATGGAATAGAAACCTTTTAGCTAATTGCGCTTGATGCGCATTTTGCATTTCGAATTTCGCCGCAAATTGAATTATGCTAGTTCATCTGGCTAAGTGCGAGTGCGAGCGTGAGAACTGGTTCGCTCCAAAACTAGTTGAACCAGCTCCAGATGCTGCAGCATAATGAGCTCATATGAATCGTTGACAGAATATTTGACAATGGCTTTGATATGCTGGCTATGACTCGGGGGGAGATCTATATATGAAATAAAACTAAACCAAGGTCAACGACTGCTCACACCGAGTTCTGACTATGTGAAGGTTAATTAAGCAACTAGGGGATACATGGAAACGAGATATATGCGAGTGTGTGTGTGTGTGTGTGTGAGTGTGTAGGGCAGCATTCCTTCAAACACGTGTGTGTCTGTGTGCTTCTGACCAAGTTAACGGCGTTTCTTTTGTTAACCAAACACAAAAGACGATAAAACGACACCCAAATATGGCAACTGAGAAACATTTTCGCGAATTTCGTTAATTAATCATCCGAATGGACGCCATTACGCCCCAAGGCCCTGCAGAAGGCGTCACTAATGATAATTATAATGCTGAATAATGACTGTTGTTGTTGCTGCTGATTTGTTTGCCTGGGAAGCGGCATTGAAGTATTTACATGTATTTACAATGACTGAGAAACATTTTGACTGCATCGTCAAAACTGTAATTTATTTTGATAGCAAAAATAATACATAATGCACCATTTAGCAATCGGCTTTATGAATTAAAATAATGTTTGGTTTACACATACAACAATAGTTGGCAAAAGTATTATCAAGTAATGAATCAATAATGAATTTTAAATATTTTTGTGATTAGTCAAAGAGCATTATTTGTTTAGATTTTGCTGATAAATTATTAATGCTATTATGTGGATAATGAAGATATATTAAATAATTACCAACTTTTTCATATAAGAACTTATATTTTGACTGATGCTTCATATGGCAGCTATGTGATATAGTTGCCGCCAACTCTTGTCGATAGCTTGAAGGCTAAGATTCATTAGAACTTTATGGGCTTGAGCTATAGATACTGATCAAGAATATTTTGCGACCAATGAAAGGGTATTATATGCATTTTTCTTAACTTTCGATCAGTTGCATCATCGAATTTAACACGCATTGTTAATTATCTCGACTCGCGAAGCCCCATAGTGACTGACCGGTCTTCGCGGTAGATCGTCCGAGACAGGTAACTAATTAAAGGTGCAAATTGATTACGTTTCTGCCAAACTTAATTTATAATCCGACAGTTTTGGCTGTGTTTGAAGCAAAAGTTTGGCAAATTAAAAAGAATTACTTTTGTTTATTAATAAATGAAGTCAATATTTATTATAGTTTTTATCGTTTATTATTTATTGCTTGTTTATGGTACAATTTTTTTTGCACGCAATTCATCTGGACTTGACATTAAAAACCAGTTTAAATTTAAGACAACATTTTCAGCTTCCAGCTGGCCGTGGGGCGTGGCGTGGCCAAAGTCATTGCCAATGCCTGAAACATTTTCTGCCCTGAAACGCGGCCAATTAAAATTGAATTATGCATGGCTAAACGGATGCTGTGACCTTCAGTTGCCGCTGAAGAAATCGCCAAATATCTGGCATTGTATTTAAGGAAAACAGTTTTAATGTATCCTTTGAAGTGAATGTTAAGACAAATTGGTGCCAACAAATTGCAAAATTGAAATGGACTTGATTGGAGCGACGATTGACAAACTTCCTGGACAATAAATACGTACGTTTTCTTTTGTGCTGCTTTTGCTTCGTTTTAACAAGTTTTCATGCGAAGTATGCGAACAAAAGAATCGTTAAGTATAAATTTATACGAGTTTTTTGAGTTTTTACTCTTGCAACCAGTTTTAAACACTTTTATGTCTGCTTTTTTTTTGACTGTCAGCTGTCGCAATACTTGGATTTTGTTTCGTTTAGAATAAAGATTCCGTCGAGTAAAAACCAAATAGTATAACAAATAAACCTAGTCTTCATTCATTCTTGTTTCTTGAAATTACGCATACGCCCTGTTGTTCAACATTCTGTTTGATGCTGGCTTACAATTTGGCTTATTTACTTATGCGAAAAACGTGCTAAATTCGACTGATTGCTCTATTTACTTTCTCCAGCTGACCCTGGCCTTCAATTCTGTTTAAACAATTCATATTTTAGACCAAAAGGCGCCAACTTATCGCTGCTTTTGTTGTAGCTTGAACTTTTGTGACAATCAATTTGCTCGTGTGACAAATATTTCAACAGCTGCCCGTAAATAAATAAAACAAAGCACAACAGGTGCAACAACAACAGCGAACACTCGACTAATTTCATTGATTGCCCAAAGCAAACCTTAAACAAAAACAGCCACAGAAACTGGAGCTACGCACAATAATCAATGAAATAAGTCAACACGGTAGCTGACAGCCTACCACAAGCACACAAATACACACACAGCAAATGTAAACATCTCCTTAATTAAACGCCAAGAGTAAATTCCAATCAAAAATAAAACAACAGAAAACAATATAAAATAAACGTATTTTTTTTTTGCTGCCGAGCTTCGAAAGTGAAAGTAAAATTAAAAATGCGCACGCCGCACGACTGCCCGTAAGGATGTCCACAGCTGCGTGTTATGCAATCGAGCGGGCGTCCAGGTGAGAAGTGGGCTTGAGTACCTACCAGCGACAGGACCGGCGACAGGACCTGCTGCTTTATTCGCCAACGCCAGAGTCCTGTCCGCAAAACAGCACACGGCAAATATCACAGTCAAAATCAAATATTTTTGCATGTTTGTTAGTTTTCGGTATTTTTGCTATGAATATGGAATTTATTTTGTTTTGTTTGGTTTTTTTATTTTTCGATTTTGTATAATTTTGTATATATTATTATTATTTTCTCAAATATTTCTTTTCCAGTTATGCAAATTTGCACTTCCGTAAAGATAAAAATTTCGCTGCTATTTTGAGTTTTTCAACGCATTTTCGTCAGATTTATGTATCGCTGCAGATGCACGAATTTACATATGAAATTTTAAATACGCGTTCCGCTTTTGTATATTATTGTAATCGTTGTCGAGTTTCGTGAAACGGAATCGAAAGTTGCCAAAAAAAAATATATGAACGGCGCACAGACAACTTAAGAGCAGGCCAAAATATTGTTATATATATGTAGACCAAGACGAAAATACCGTGCGCATGCGCGCCCAAACTGACCGTCGACTGTCGAAGAACTAACAATTTTGGAGCGCTTGGGCGCCAACTTACGCAGAATCCCCAAGCGCAGCTGCGAGAGGGAGAAGAGTAAAGAGAGAGAGAGAGAGGGAGAGAGCCGAGCGGGCCAGAGAGAGCGAGAGAGAGAGCCGGTTCAACTGGTTGGCCAGTGAGCTGCAACTCGTTTGTTTCGACTTTTTTGTCTTTCCGATTTTCGGTGTGAAACGAAACGCTCTGTAAGATTAGCATCCAAGTCGAGAGATGCTGCTGCCCTGCGTGTACGGACAGCGGCATAACACTTGTTGGCGACTGTCGACAGGGGCCTGCAGCTGACTTGCTTGTCAAACACTTGACGTCTTGAAGCCGCAGACGCTGCCACAGCCGCAGCCGCAGACGCAGACGAAGCCGCGGACCAAGGTAAGCATCAGTGGAGCGTGCGTTAATTTGGACATGCCCACAAAGCTGAGCTCGAGCGTGAAACGAACACCAAAAGCGAACATTTCAAGATATCTGGTTATGAGGTCTCTCGCATTGCAAGTTCTCTGACATCGGCGACGTTCTAAGATTTTGCAATTTCACTGCGTCTTCGTGTATCTGACACGAGCTCTGCTTGCATACCGCACAATTCCATTTGTGGCAGATGCTTTCGATTTTCATTTTCAGTTTTTGCCAGCCAAGTTTCTCGCCTGACCTTGACAAGTGCTGCACTGCGTATACGTAATATGGCTATAAAAAATGCACGCGCCAAGCAAAGCAAAGCCGGACAGCTGAGAATTATTTCATATAACAACAAACATATGTCAGCGATTCTTGAATCTGGTTTTCGGTTTGTCGTCTATTTTCAAATTTGAAAAATAATACAGCTTGTACGATATTTGTGGCAGAAACATAAATTCATATTGCAAAAAATTTCAATTAATCACAAAAAAAAAAAACATTTTTTTAAAGAACCAGATTTTGGGAAATATTTTTCATATCCAGATTTGGTTCTGGGCATCTTTTTATTGTTATTTAACATTTACTATCTTTTCAAATATATTATTTATTGTCAAATAGCAACTGAAATATCGGGTTCTAACCGGATCGTTGCTTAATCTGTTGATCTATGTACACTTGCCTTTAATGTCAGACCATAAATTTGGAACTATAAATTTATTGAAAGGAAACGAAATTCGTGATTGTATTAATTAGAAAAAAAAAAAAAACACTAAATTAGCCAAGGATTTGAACCGTCTGTAAAATGGAACGTCAGTCATCCTTTTTAAATGCCGAAATCGCGACAATACACGAAGTCAAGAAGTGGACGCCACTTATTGAATTTCTTGCAACTTGTATTTTGACCTGTGGCGTATTTCGTATTACCTTTGGGTACTTGTCTTTATAGATAATTATCTATAAGTTAATAAAATTAAATATAATTTATTGGGCAATTGTGTTCATTTGTTGTAAGTGGCTGCTTTTGAGCTGATTCTTAATGAAGCGAAACACGTTTCCAGCTGTTATGTTTTGTGTGTATGTGATTCGATTAGCATTTGCCATTGAAATTAGATCAGAGACGAATCGAATATAATGGTCAATAGACGAGTTCATTGCTACTTGGCCAGCAAGTCAGGGCTGTGGTTCTTTGTAATAAAAAACAAATTTGTGTATAACTTGCGGCTATTCCAATCAATGGAATGCGGCACAGAAGTCGGAAACGATGACGCATAATATAATAATATATAATTAAATTTCCTCAAACCAATCAAATCATTACAGCAATTAGTAATTTGTCAATTTATTTAAAAATGATGGGCCATTTGTGAGGTATTTATCGCTTGTGCTTGAGGGCTTATCGTTTGTTAAGTTTTTCAAATTAATTTTCGTAAATTCTTGCAAACGTCTTATTATAAAAAAAAACGTGTTTTACTACGCCTATTTATTTGGCAAGCCTTCAATTTTATTGCCTTTCTGCCCACATGCTTCAATCATGACAAAATGTTTGCTGATTTTATTGATTTATACTGAAAGATGGACATTTGATGGATCAAACGAAGAGCTTGTGTATATATTTTTTTCTTTTAATATGCAAATTTTCTTAAGTGTTGCAAATATTAATATTTGTTCATTTGTGTACTAGCAAATGCACTAAAATGGCCTTAAAATGTATTATGTATCTTATCAAATAGTAGGGGATTTTTTTATATCGGGGATTTTTTAAAAATGTATTTCAATACGAAATTCTCAGAAAACTATAATGATACATATTTTGTTTTTGTATTTGTATTAAATTCGGGGATTTTTTCCAACTAGTTTTTATGATAATTAAGTACAGATAACGCAGAAAATTATGATTTAATAATCTTTCAAGTTTTAATTGAAACGGGGGTTTTTTTGTTATGTCCTTCATGAAATGGGAAAACAATTGTTTAAACATCTTCCACGTGCCTGTAGCTGCAACGGGGATTTTTGTTTTGGCATTGTCCTCGATTTCAATATCTTAGACATCAATTATTAAACGTTTTTTATATGCGTTTCTAAATAGGGAAGTATTTTTGTCCAATTTAGACAATAATTTGTCGAATATATCGCAGACATTAAATTAGTTTGAAGTTATATTTGCAGCGGCGATTTTTTTTTGGTCTAGACAGACTATTTTGTAACAAATCATATTTGTACTTATTATCATGCATTTGTAGTTCTTCTCCCAATATTTAATTAAATTGGCAGGAATACGTTAATTATGTGGTCTTTCTTATGCAAATATCTGGATTGACATAAGCGATTCCCGCTGCTGGTTTAGAAAGATTTATTACTCTATGTTATCTCAAGCGATTGTCACAGTTAATTTGAAAAGCACTACAATTTCACGTGCTTATAAAGTCAATTCCGATCTGGGATAAGAAAACAATACTGCATTGAAACGAGTTTCGAAACCGAATCGAAAGATATCTACTGCGTAGGGAGGTGTGAATTCCACAGGCAAATCTTTCAATTTGAATGTACATACATTTCAAATCAGTTAAACAAGTTTCTATTGACAGTTCAAATAAGATACAAGACCGACTAAAGTCATAAATTAAAAGTCCAATATTGTACAAGTGCTTCAGATCGGAGTGGCCCTGGTCATTGTGGTCATCATTACAAGTGTGGGCGGCGGGAGGGGGACTAATTAAAGGCGAATGAAGCTTATTTTGCGTAAATAGGCCGAGAAAACAAGACGCTAAAAAAAATATGCACACGCAAACACTACGCAAACGCGGCAAGTGACATAAAAAACACGCATACCTCATACGCCCCGTGGGCCATGAACCGAAACGGCGTGAAAACAATATTTACCACAGACAAAAAAGCTCTTGTATTCAAATATGTAATTCCGAGTATTGCCGGAAAATAATACGAAACAACATTTTGGGCGCATATTTATACCCTCACTGGGGCAGTTGGACGATAAAGCCATTGCATCTTTGCATGAGCACTTTTTTGCTCATATTATCGAATATATGCATACGCCATGACAAAACTAAGAGTATACGAATAGGTGGGCTGCAGCAACAGTAACTACTTAAAAAAACTAAAAGCAAGGTTGTTAACTGGAATATTGATACGATTGTTATAGCATCTGCTGCTGCTACTCCAAATTTAAATTTTGATTGATAGTCGGCTTTGTAAATGGCCTTAACTAAATAGAGCAGATGCCCAGCAGCAGTTCAGTTTATTCAATTCCACGCTTGACGTCTTTATCTACCTGATTGCACGCTTGATTAATGATTTTCTGGCCGTTTTCCAACATCGATTTCGATTATATGCTTATATGCGTATACACTTTACAAAGAGTTTTCCAACACTTACCGCTGTCAACTTCATTCTCGCTGGGATCACGATGAAAAATATTGCCGTAGTATTGATCGTGCTGCTCCGACTCGACGCTCTGCAGCGACTCCTGCACATCCTCGTCGTATTCATCATGAGGATTGCTATTCGCCTGCGACTGCTGGTCCGCCAGATCCTCCTCCTCCTCGTCCTCGTAGCGCAAACGCTGGCTAGTTGAGCTCGTTATCCGCTTGGAAGCCGCCGCCGCTGCCAACCGATTGCGTTGGGCACCGCCGCCGCTTTTCTTGTAGCCATCGCTACTGGAGAAGCCACGCGGACGTGGACGTGGGGAGGGCTTTGGCTTGGGCAGAATATCCGCTATAGTGGGTATCTTCTGGCTAACGCTGCGATTGGGAAACAAGCGACGCTCAAGAAAGTTGGCAAATATCTGCTGTGTTATTTGATTCTGGCGCGCCAGTTCGCTCTGATCCAGTTGAAAGTGATTGTTGCCGCTGTCGCTGCCACTGTTGCTGTTTCTGCTTCTGCTGCCGCCGCTCGTGCCTGCAATTGGATTGATGTACGATTAATCAATGTAATCACATGTGGGCCGCGGCAATTGGGCAATCCCAACAGGTGGCTGCCGCTCTGAGCGCTCAGCTGGGGCAATTATATAAACGCCGGGTGGCCCACGTTCAGCTTGAAGATGAGATGCAGAAAATCAAGTTGAAAACAAGTAAGACTGCTCTAATAGAGACTGCACAGCTGCAAAATACCCTATGCGCAATTCTGTAAGTAACTTGTAATACTAAAACAAAATATTGTCTTACTTGAATTCATGAGCATCTCGTAGAAAAGCTTTTATTCGAGCTACTAAGAGAGTTGACGACAGTGTGAGAGTATTGAAAGGGTGAAAGTGAATTTAAAGAGTCGAATAAAGAGACGATGATGTCAATCATAATATCAGTAATCATTCAACATCTGTCAATTCTAAGAAAAGAAAGGTGGTAAACTTAAATGTTTTTTCTAATATGCAGCAAGGCATAAAAGAACCAGGCTAAGAAACGAATTAACTTGGATCATGGACCCCACAATGAAGATATGTATCTGGTTCAGACAAATAGGGTATCATCTCCTTTTAGCACCAAAAATATGTACAATCTGTATAAACAAGCAAATGTTATGTACTCTTTAGTTTGTGTCTGCATATATGTGCTTGCAAGCGTTTTTAAGTCTTCAACTTAATTTGAAGGTCAAGAGCTTAAAAAATTAAATGTGGCGAAACATAAAACTGATGAACTGATGACTCATCTTGAAGAGCATCAGGTTTGGTCAGTTACTGCACCCATTTTAATCAAAGAATTTGTAAAGCTAAAAGCAATTTGATCTATAGAAATGCGCTTCTTCTGTAAACGCTGGCCACCCATAAGCCTTTAATGACTGTCGGTAATACATTTTGATTGACGTCATGACGCTCTGCGTCAGTCGCTCGACTGACACGCATCAATCAAATCTGTGACCCACTGAATGACGGGGATGCCCGCCAACACGGCCTCAGGGTCGCGCACGTGATCATTAGCTGAGCTCCAGCATGTAAATTTGCATTTTTCTTTGGAGCTCTTCCCAGTTTTTTGTTTATTGTTTAATGACAGATTAATTGTTTGCCGTTTGACTGGGGTCTTATACTTACCCTCAACTCCGCCACCACCCAACCACAACTGTGTCAAGGCTATCAGAATTTTAAGTGTCCAGCATTTAAACGGATTGCGAGCAGTTGCAGTTCGAGTTCCAGTGGCCATCTCCCATCCAGGTAATGAGTTTAAATGGCCAAATAATTGATATGAATGCGACTGTAAACAGCGCAGACAAAGCGACATTAAAGTCTTAAATGCTACTCAAAAGACCGCTTGATGCATTAGCCCGAAAACACACCCAAAAAAATAATAAAGCAAAAAATATTGTCGTGTGCCCAAAAATGTTGATTACCCGCCATTTCGGGTTTGTTTCACTTATTGCCTGCTATATGTGTTTTTTTTTGTATTTTTTGCAACGCCTTTACAAATATGTTTACCTTCATTAAAGTGTGTAAAATGAAGTACAATTTATTACGCAATTTATTGTTGTTTCTGCGCCTGGGGTAATCATTTTTGCTTTTGCTTTAACATATTTTTATATTTTGTCTGAAGAGTCGTCATTTATAACTTTTCGTCAGCAAATGCCCCCAACCCTCTCTTGCTGACATTTGAGTGTGGCATAAGGGCAAATAAAATTCGAATTATAACCACATCTGAAAGTATTGAAAGTGGGCTATATTGAAATTGGGTGTGTTAACTTGAGTAGGTGATAAATCTTATTGTTTAATCGATCATAACTGAGGAGCGGAAAAGATGGAGATGTGATGCAGAAGAGATAAAGTTTACCTATGCCAAATGCTCTTAAGGCCTTTAACTTTATGACAATGCAATAATATAAAATACATTTATGCATTTAGTTTGTAATGATCAATTTTTGGAATATTATCGAAAGTAGTTGCTATCCAATATCGAAAGCAAAAAGAAAAACAAGCTTTTCTATTGGGTAATGCTATTATTATCAGATAATTACTTTCTTTTTATCGAAATTTGTATTGCTTAGCCATTCAAGATACGATCTCAAACAAAGTGCAGCACTCAAGTCCAATTGACAGTTGAGTCTTGTTGGTTTCTTAAAGAGCAAGTCATCAGTGTTTTGATTTCTTACTCGTGGAATTAATTCATCGATTTCAAACTCAAATTGCTGGGCATTTTAGCCCAAATTGAATACTGGTGCGGCGCTAAGGTCACAGACGAGGGCACTCGACAGGCCGACAAAATGGACTCCAACAATGGGACTCTAAATAGCAGTCACATTTAAGGCCCATTGTTAACACGCTGTTCCGCTGGCGTCTAATTGTTCTCAACGAGCCAACAAATCAAGCTGAATAATCCTTGAGATATTACGAGTATTTGTCGCTCATTATGAGCCACATTTCAATTGCCGTCGTTATTATTGTTGTTGTTGTTGTTGCTGTGGCAATTTACATGCCATTGTCTGTGCCGTTGACCAATTGAAAGTTGGCCCCAAGTCGTGATGGCCCAAATGCACAATCTAATCCAGTTCCCGATCGCCGTTTATCGCATACTGATCGATGTTTTACGCGCAGTTTTCAAATAGTTTGCTGGATTTTATTGCCGTTCGATTGGAGTTTATTAATTTCGTGCAACGTGCAACGTGCAACATTGAAGCATGCAACAGCGGCAAATAGATGTCATAACCCAGTTCTGTCCGAATTGTGATGTGTATCTCTATCCAGCAGATACACGGCATGACCAGCATTGGCTAATTGTCGTTTGCCCAGGCACATAAATCATTCAAGACTCGTCGAGGATGTTGGCTGACTGCAACTGCAACTGCAACTGGCAACTGCCTTGAAAATGCAACAACCAAATCAAACAGTAAATCATTTTGACTTGCATCTGTTGCAAATAACCCGCCAGCTACACCAGCGGCAGCGGATAATGTATCTGTATCTGTATCTTAAAAAACAGCAACTGCTGCAAAGAATTGAGGGCCGTGTAATTGCCGCTTGGCTGAAAAGAGGTCAATTAGCAGCAGCAGCAGCAGCAGCATCTACAAGTACAGTCCCCTACACCCCAGCTGCCCGCCCAGCAAAAGAGTTTCTTTTGCAGTTGTGCAATACGCCAAACCGAAGAAAAAACAAATAAACTGAAACATGCGCGAAAAATATGTATTCCAAAAATGTTCGCAACTTCGACCCGAACGAGACAAAACTTGAACATTCCGCTAAACAAAAAAGTGTTTTAGATTTCATTTCATTTCCAGACGAGTTTTTCACATTGCGCAATCAATGCACTCATAATTAGCCACAAGCCTGTCATATGCGGCGTATACGCAACACAATACCGAAGCGCATACGCCCCGTTGGCCGAGCTGTGGTTTCGTCTGTCTTGATTGACGCACAGAAATCTGAAATATGATAGACAATACTCAAATACCAATTGTCTTTCAATGCCAGACAAGATTTTGTACAAGCCGACAGCTAATTAGTTAAAGTTCTTTAATTCTTCTGGCTGACTGAGCAGTTTTTCAAAATGATTATTATGTCAGCACTCGAAGAGTAGATGGGGCACCATATATTATTAATCAACACATTCGCATAATGTGATGTAAACTTTTGGACCAAGAACTTGTTGGGCAACTCGAATTAATATCCCACGACTTAATGTGACAAATTTATCTATAGAAATGGCTTTCATTATAAGGCGATTGCAAAGCAGGTGCTTGAACTCGACAGAAAAAGAAAAGAAGAATTTAAATATTAGTTAAATATATGCGTTTAGCATCTTCTACATTCAAGTCAATGAACGGTCCATTTATCTTGTAGACAACTTTTTGGAAATTTTTCTCGCTCGCGCGTCGGGACTTGACCGAAAATGTCACAAGGTGAAGAGCAACCAACTTATAAGTAGATATAAGTCAAGTGCTGCGACTGCTTTAAGACGAGTTTAATATTTCTTTAATACGTATTTGTATACACATTGAACTTAACGGGCTGTTTATTAGGTCATCAACATGCCAAATCCATAACAAAAAAAAAAAAATAACAAACGAATGCAATGCGACGGTGAAAAAAAAAGATAAGAATAATTTGAAGATAAAATATTATTGAAATGAGTAGGTTTTGTCTTTTTTTTTTGTTTTGGATACACTTGTGGAATATTTAATGCTAATGGGCTAAGTTATAAAGATTGACATTGACATTAATAATAAAATCGGTTGGCTTTGGTTTTTATATAACAATCATAGCGTAAATTAGGCAGAGCCGGTTTTATTATTTTAATAATGGACTTTTTTATAGATGGAGAAAGATTCGAAAGAAATTTAAAAAAATGTGTTGACAAAATGTGTGCATTCATTTAGGCTATTAGCCTTTTTTCTAAAACGTAGTACGCGCCAGTTGATTGAAAGATAAGTTAAATTCCAGTCGTCAGATAGTATAAGCTTGAGCAAAATATACAATATATAATAAAAGTTTACTTTAGCAATTATTTCGCATATGCAAACACTCGGTAAATCTATTAAAACTTCATGCTCAGCCTCACTCTAAGGTCAATTTCATTAATATCTGCTTTCACGCCTCAACAGCCCGCGTCAAGGCATTCGAGAAAATCCAATGATGCTTAACGAGTAAGATCGCTCTAGACGGCAGAAGCTAACTAGAAGATACCCTTTGATCAGAGCTGGAATGCCAGCAGAATATCAATATTTATCGATAGATCTTTAAAAAGCTTTATATGTGCGTACGTTTGAGAAACTATATAGCATGTCTCAAACTTATAGTCTTCCGATAACGATGCGTAGGGGGACAAACAGATGGATGCGGTTGAATCGATACAAAAATCGATTTATCGAAATTTGAGTGAGCCATCGATTATTCTGAAACAGGTTTGATATGCTCGGTCTTAAAATCTTCTGGAATAGGTGCGTTCATACAAACTGACATGGCTTGACCTGGATATAAATATGTACATTGGATTGGTGCCTTCTGGCTGTTACATACATTTGATCGAATCTATAATACCTCTCTCTAAGCACGTTCATTGGGTACAGGGTATAATAAAAACTATATAACAATCTCTCTAGCTCTCTAAGTGCTATCTTAAATATTGGCACATCTATTGAGGCAGCCTCATTAACGTGTATCGATTGAACGACCTTGGCATGGATTTAGGCACTAGATGCCACTTGGCTATCATTCATTGAATGGTGGGAAAGCATCAAGTACTTACCTCTCTTGTCGCGGCCATTTGTGGTTGCCGACGGCACCGCCTCCTCCCGTTGCTCGACGACTGCCACTGGAACATTTCCTCGACTGTTGCTGCTGTTGTTGTTGTTGTTGCTGCTGGCCGCATGGAAAATGCGCGGCACGGGGCGAGCAGAGGCTGCAAGCGGCACGGATAGAGGCACGTTTTGTGGCGCGTTGTTACCGGAATCGACACTGGCCAACGATAAGAGCACTGTGAAGAGCGTGAAGCGTTGCATTATCATCGCGCGCTTTGGTCAAATTTGGGCACCAGTTTTTGTTAAGCTATCAGGCTTCGAGTTGAAGCTAAAGTTCGCGACGGCGACACAGACACGACTGACGCGGGAGAAAGCCAGCTGCAGGCTGCACAAGCTCTATGGGACAGACACCACTCTGATCGTGTGAATATCTATGAATGTTGATGCTGCCGATCTAGTCGATATGCAATGATTATGCTGAACTGGCGCTTTCTAAATTAGCAATGCATGGATGCGACATATGAAACTACAAGTTATGAGTATATGAGTTCACAATGGGTCGATCGATGCGACGATCTTGTTTTTGTTTTTATGCTTCAAATGGGTCTTTAGTCTCAGTGCTTCTGTTTTCTCCTCCTAAAGCTCATGGCGTTGTGGAATAGAGAGCGCCAGGCCATTAATCTGCGCCTCCAACTTCAGCTGGGATTAGGTAATCGAGCGATCTTGTCTCGCAGCGTTTACTTTCTTTCCGTGTGTTGTTGTTGTTGTTGTTGTTGGAATAGTTGCGGCAGCGGGAGCACCCGCTTCAATTTACTCTCACTTTGGCGACTTGGGCGACTCTCGAGCTGACCGATCGCAAAAGTGGTTCGCATTTGGCGTTGAGCTCTCGAACCGTCCAGACCCTCGATCGTTGCTCCGTTTACGTGATGTTGCGTTAACTTTCGGCTTGCTTACTTACAGACTAAAGCGTTTGAACGCAACTAAAACACGTTGCGCGCTCGAGATTCCTCTCTGGAGCCGATCGATGCTTTCAGCTTCGCTTCGGTCAGCTGGTTTGCTTGGCGGCAGGTTTCTCTTCTCTCTTGGCCATTTGCTCTCTCTCGTCCTCTCTCTCTCTCTCTCTCTCTAGCTCACTGGCAACTTGTTTATATTGACCAAGATGAAGCTGCATCTGCTGGCTAGCTCCACATTCCTATATAGCTACTTTATTGGCGTGAAGAGACCTTTGCATCGCAGACATCTTCAGCTGGACCAGAAGCGGGTTTTTTCACCGCAGGTGTGGATGGGGCGCGGTTCTTGTGCAGATGCAGGTTTTACTGGCTAACTGATTAAGTCAGGTTGGCCAGATCGAAATCAGCCTCAAGAATTGCCAACATGCAACGATCGTTTGCCCATTGCCAGGGTCGGTCTAGGGCTATAAAAAACTGGCTAATCCAACTGATGCACGCTAATTATAATGACATGCACATATAAGAGCGTCATTTTTTTTAAAGTTTATGGATCGTAAATATAATGTTTTCTACGAAGCATAAACAGATAATATGGAATATTTGCCGGAGTTTTTAAACTATACAAATGCGAATTGATCACAGATTTGTGTTTATCCAAAAATTTTTTTTTTATTCATTAGACAATTGTGTTCCTTCATTCCGGGTGCTGGCTAAATGACCTAAAACTATAAATAATTTCGAATCCAGATGTTGTGTAACAGTGTTTTTTAGGGTAAAGGTTGGCTATATGATATATAACTGGGCAGGCTTCCTGGACTTATTTATATATGGTATATATATTTATATGTTTACCAGGATTTGACGATGGGTTGCTGCTTGTGCCTTCGATAATCTCTATCTATCCACTATTTCTTCTTCTTGCCCTTGCCCTTGCCCTTGCCCTTCTTACCCTTCTTACCCTTCTTGCCCTTGCGCTTCTTGCCCTTGTTAGCGTCCAGCAATGCCTCGGTCACGTACGTCTCCGTTGTCACCTTGCTCATGGGCAATGTCATCGGCTGCTTTGGTGTCCGCAGCTCGATCTCAATGGTGTTCTTCTTGTGCTGAGACTTCGATTTGCTGCCCAGCTTGACGAGGAACACATCGCTGTCGGTCTCCTCGCACGTTTTATAACACACCTAACACAAAGGTTGGGAACGGAAATTAATTACATTTAAGCTCGAAAAGTTTTTCCTCAAGTTGAAAAACTATTAAGCTATTAACAAACTAAGACAAAATGGTCTAAATTATGTTGTTAATTTTTCCCAATACTTGAGCAGCAATGGACTAAGGTAATATGGCCTTAAATGAAGCTCTAGTCCACTGCGAAAGGTTTGGGCAATATTACCTGAAATTTTATGCAATTTGTTGCGATTCATTTTTTCTGGATGTAGAGAGTGGTTTTTTGCTGGCAGATTTACAACCGTTGCGAATACGAATTGTGGTTGGCACCACATATTTGGACCTCTTGCAACTGACTCGTGTGGTTATGCAACAGACATGCTGCAGCTCTGGCAATTGAAAGCATTTAGCCAGACTCGGGGCCACGTCACGGAACAATTGGACTATTCGAGAGACTCGAATTCCGCATTCCAACACGTGCTTTCGAGCTGCCAAGAGATGCATCTGTGTGCTTGTGTGCTTGTGTGTGTGTGTGTGTGTGGTGTTGCTTTGCACTTACCTCAATGCCCTTCTTACGGGTGTCCAATTCGACGCCCTTCATGGTCTCCTTGATATCTTTGGCCTCCACCTGCATGCAGCAGCTGCGGCGGTTTTGAGTGGGCGGTATCGCCGGAATCACGGGTACTCCGCCGCCGCACAAACGCCGGCGATAGCATTCGACCTTGGCCTCCCGCTGATCGCAAACCTGTGATCGATAACAATCGACCTTGGCTTCTTCCTTTTCGCACGCCTCCTTGATCTTCGAGAAGGGCACGTAGTAGTTGTCCGTTTCGCAGGTATCATTGCCCGAGTACTTGATGTTCGCGCGCACCTTCGGTATGTTGGGATGATTGACAATCCGGCCGCAGGTGCGTCGCTGTATGTGCTTTCTGGCAAAGTCGCTGCGCTGCAGCATATCGTTGAGGCACTTGTTCGATGAGCAGTCCTCCAGGTTGGACCTATAAACGGGATCATCATCCGGACCAAGGTTCGCATCGGCGCCATCGTCAACGCTCTGGACTTTATGCGTATTCTTTAAAACTCGTATTGTCAGGCCGCTGCCATTGAGACAGGCCTCGAACTCGTCATAGGCCTCGGGACCCGGATCCGGACGCGTCGGCTGTATAAAGCATGGCTGTATCTCAGGGCTGCAATCGCAATCGCATTGGCACTGACAGCACTCCTCGCAATCGGGTACAACTGAAAGAGGTATTAATATGTATGATTGGATCTATCAGAAATTGAATTAAGGAATACCAACCTCTTGGCATCATTGGTCTCAGCATTGCGTCATTGATATTGATTGGGCAACTGACCCCACCTTTCTTCTTGCCCTTCTTGCCCTTCTTACCCCTCTTTTTGGCCATTTTGTTTGGATATGTTTATGTGGTCGTGTGTGCTCAAAATTAAATTTAGATATAGCTTGAATTAGTCAATTTGGATATTGCACTTGACCAGTAAATGGCGCAATTTCCCTAAAGCTCGTCTGCGTGCTAAAGTTAACCGAAACGAAAAACAGGAATTATCCCCAAATCCCTTTAGATTCAATATCTAGATTATCAAAAACCAAATGAATTGACCAAGTCGAGCCCTTGTGAGGCTGCCTTATGGTTCAATCAATTGGATTAGCCTTCGTTTACTCAAAAAAACGAGAACCCTAAAATCTCAGTCTTGAACTGCAAAGAAAAAAACACAAACGGGAAATTACGAGAGAATTTTTTTCTTTTTTGACGATAGAAAATTCCGAATCGATTGTTGAAAATAAAATGAAATTTTTACCCTGGATAATTTTGTGAATGACTGTTGAAGCGTTTTAACAATTTTGATTTACTTTTCAAAAAATACTTTCAACGATTGCTAAGGTTTTGACATCTTTAAAATGTATGATCTACCTGCAACAAAAACTAAAATAAATAAATATATACGACTTACGAAACAGGAAACTTATGATTCAACGTATATGGAAACGTAGTTGGTTGGCGTCTGCCTTCAATTGTTAAAACCTACACAAACTCGGAATCACTTGTCAAAGCGGAAGAAGAGTGATTTGATAGATATCAAGAAAAAGATTACAATTGAAGCGTATGACGAAATGTATGCCTCAATGCTGAGGAAATACATTGGTTTAAAAAATAATTATTTTTGTATTACAAAAATTTTATTTTCACTTATAATGATGACAGTTTTTATTTTTTGTTTTTCCCTTTCTTCTCACAATGCATCAGTACGTGCAGTAGGTAGAGTTTCACGGTTACAAAACGGATGTCCATTATGTCTTCTTAGTTTTCTTATGACTCTTCTTCTTATGTTTCCTTTTTTTCTTATTTGTATTGCAATCTAATCCGGGAGTTAAGTCGACACACCTACCGCATGGCTTGTTCTGCTCGGTTGAACTTCTGATCTTACGACAGATAGTTTTCTGATTATTCTCCATCTGCTGTTGTCTCTTAACAAGTAGATTGTCATAGGAAGCGAATCTGGGAAATATGTCAACGTCGGCACAATCCCCGCACGGTCTGTAGTGCTCCACAATCTTCTTGCATCGATACTTACACGGCACAGTGGGGCAATCTGTGGTCCCACAGGCTCAATTAGTTGTTTTGGTGGAATTTGGACCACAAGCTGGAACTTACCGCGATCGAACTCATCCTCACATATGTCATAGGGACACAATTTATCCTCATTGCAGGCAAAGTAACGATAGCCTTTGGTGGGTCGTTTGCCGTCGCGCTCTGCCGGTATTATATAACATGGATGCTGATCCGGTGGGCGCGGCATTGGGACCAATTTCTTGCCAACCTTTTTGAAGTGCGATACTATGGTGGGTCCATGGCAGAGCAGACGCATTATGAGCACCATGTTGCCGGTCTGCTGTTGGCAGATATTGAAGAGAGGCAGCATTCTCTTGGCCATGGTATAGCTGGGGCATAGCTGCTCCAAGCGTTGAAAGCCGGCATTGAAGCACTCGCACGTGTCCAGCAGGTCCCTGTTGCTGCCCTTCAACGAGGGCAAATTCATCATATTATTCTGCCGCTTACTCCTCCAGTCCCAGTTCTCAGTATTAAACTCTTTGTCAACCTTATCAAAAAGCGGCTTTACTCTGACCTCACTGAAGCCAATCAGAAACTTGCAGCGATCCGTACGTTTCTTATAGACATGCACCAACAGTCGATCCTCGGGTGTGATTGGCGATTCCAATGCAAAAATACAACACTTGCCGCACTGCGGCTGCTTGGGCTCGATGCAGCCCCCATACTCACGATCGCATATATTGACATAGACGCTAGACCGGAACGTTAGCTCCACACAGGTGGAGTACTCCTCGGGCGCACAGTGATTCTTACGCGTTATCACCACATCATCGACCACAAAATCAAACATGTACAATAAATGCGGAATAAAGTCCATTTTAACATAAAATTCTGCCGAACATTAAACAAGTGACCGAAGCGGAAATTTGTTCTGAAAATTGGTAAACCTAAAATTTGAATTTTGAGGAATTGTTTTTGGATGGAGCTCTGGAATGTGACTGAAGTGATTTGTCTACCGAACAGTAGATATCAGAGCTAAGCAAGCCCGATTACTGTTTTTTGCTTTTCTATAAAAGATATTTCTATTTTAGCTATATATATATATATCAAGATTAGAAGAGCTATTTGGTTTTTGGCATTAACTGAGCGTGAGTCGACACACATCTATATCGATTCCCCCAATCTCTATTAATCTCTCGGCCTTAAACGTGCTTAACAGAAATTAAATTCCAGACAATTGAGAATAAAAGTCTTCATTTTTCTGTAGATTAAAACGAGTGTTTTCGAGCAGAAAATGGTGACAGTCTAAGAAAGTTCAAGATGTGAGAAACACTGTGCGTAAAATGTGACTGAAATAATATAGTTTAGTTGGCCAAGGCGCTGCACAGCAGCATCTCGTTGGGGACTTTATTGAAATAGCAATCCTCCACGCTGCCCCCCCATAGCTACATTATCGTCAATACCACAAATCCATTCCTCCAATCGGTTGGCTCTATGGCAGCGGGGGGTTTGATCCACGAATTTTGTTGGCATCAGAGTCAGATTGCTTTGGTTAGTTAAAACACGAAACTGCATTCGCATTGGCTTTGACAACACTCTTTAACACTCGTCACAATCGTCGATCACTTTGGGTGAATATTGAGTATTTAGGAATTATTCCGTTGCAGCTCACAAATTTACCTACCTCTAGGTTTTTTATTATTGTACGATTGACTTTTTGGCTCTGCATTTCCTTAGTTTGCCACTGTGTAGTTGATCTCAATTTGATTGCGGTGACCTGAACCTAATCAATCTGAATATTGTACTTGGTCAGAAGGTGGCGCAATTGCCGTATGGCTCGATTGCGCGCTGGAACGAAACGAAACGAGAGATTATGGCGTTTACATGGGATTATTATCAAATCATTTATGTTTTGCACACTACCTCACTCACCTAGGTTGCAGCAGCTGGCGTATTCGGGGCAGCAGTGGTTGCAGGGATCTGCGAATCCACCGCCCGGCGTTGGCTTGGAACTATCGCAGAATAGCCCGCCCGTGAGCGCTGGTGATGCAATATCAATGTAGGGTCCGCAGCCGCCGCCAGACTGGCGGCCCTTGTTCTTCTTCTTTTCCTTCTCCTTTTCCTTGTCCTGTTTTTGCTTATCCTTGCGTGCCATATCCGCCTCCTTTTGCTTTTGCACCTGCACGAAACGTGGATGGGCTGGAACGCCACCGCATGGACCACAAGGCTCCAGGCGCTGTTCAATGACCGACTTGCAACGTCGCTTGGACGGCACAGTGGGACACTCTGTGCACGTGGGATCCATTAGAGAGATGAACTTTTTGCGTATGCATTAACTTACCGCGATCAAACTCATCCTCGCAGTATTCACAGGGACACATCTTGTCCAGATTGCAGGCAAAGTAGCGCAAGCACTTTTTGGGCTCCGGTGGCGGCTGATAACAAGGATCTGGCTGCACGCATTTTGGCAATGGGCATGGTGGACATTTGCCTCGGCAGCATCTCTTGCCAGTGTCCATGGGACCACCTGTGGCGCTTGCAGATCCACCGCCGCAGCAGGGATCACATGGATCTTCGGGACAACGTTCGGGCTCGCAAGGCGCCTTGAATTTGCCACAGGACGGACACGGTGGACACGGAGGTTGGCAAGGGGACGGGCAAGGGGGCGGACAAGGCGGCGGACATGGTGACGGACACGGCGGCGGCCCCACCGGATTGCGTGAACAGATTGAATGATTCAGCGAAAAGGCGGACACAATGGCCGGCCCATTGCAGAGCAGACGCATGATGAGCACAATATTGCCTGTCTGCTGCTTGCAGAGATTGAAGAGCGGTAGCAGCCTTTTGGTTAGTTCCGAGGTTGGGCACAATTGTTCGCGACGCTCATGCCCGGGATCATAGCAGGCACAATTATCCAGCACATCCTTGTTGGGACCCTTCATTTTGGGTATATTCTGTAGCTGTTCGTGCCATATCTTTTCCCAGTTAACATTTTCCGCATCAAAGGATTCCCTGACGCGATCGAAAATTGGCTTCATTGGCAGCTCGGTGAGTCCAATCAGGAACTTGCAGCGATTGGTTCGCTTCTTATACACATGTATCAGGAGCCGATCCTTGTCCGTGATTGGTGATTCCAGCGCGAAAATACAGCACTTGCCGCATTTCGGCTGCTTGGGATTCACGCAGGTTCCATACTCGCGATCGCAGATGTTTAGAAAAACGCTGGAGCGGAACGTGATCTCCACACAGGTCGGATACTCCTCGGGCGCACACAAATTCTGCCGTGTTATGAGCAGATCATCAACCACAAACTCTAGCATATAAATTAAGCTCCTGGGCGAGGTCATTGCGAATTGTTTTTAATTGCAATCTGCGGGTGCAGAGAATAGATTCCAAAATTTTGTTACTAAAAAATTTAATGTTGTAATTTGGGCCGAGGTAAAAACTGAACTGGTATAGACATTTCGTTATTCTATAGCATGGCTTACAAAACACATGCCTGCTGAGAGATCTAACCTGAAATATCTCATTGATACTTCACATTTTAATTTTAATGTTATTTTGTTATGTATCTAAGGAATCTAAGATAACTTTGACGCCTTGTCAAAACGCATTTTGCGCCCAAACACTTTTGACTCTTAACTAAGGCTGTTTCGTGTTCAACTATCTTTAACTTAGTTTAAGCTTAAAGTTTAGTTTATGCTCAAAAATACATACATCATCATACATACAGCCATTGCACACATTCTCATAAAATAGGAGTCATAAAATAGCAGCAATTAAATTTAATTTTTTTTTTTTGGGGTTTTTTCTATTTTATCATAAAATCATTTATTCAATTCCCGAAATTGTTCTACAAAATTGATTGAGCTACTCGTAAATGTACTTTTAAGTGGCGCTGCTACGGTCACTGCCTTTCTGGTTGTGCATTGCAAGCCGCACGAAGCTTATGCTTAAGAACTCCATCTATTAATTAGCTAGGATGGTAGGAGAAAGAAGACAAAGGGCGTGTTTGACACAATATACATAATTAAAGAGCATTTGTATACAGGAATTTTGTTTCGTATATTTTGCATGCAGTGTCTTTAAATGTTGGTAGCAAAGCAAGAAGACTTGGCAGGCTATCCACCATGGGATAATCAACTAAACGACACTAACGTCAGGCGGAATGAAAGGACAGGAGAGGAAAAAGCTGTGGCCACTGCACGAACTCGATGCCGTAGTGGAGAATGCCAGTGGCGCTGACCGCAATCATAGCACCCCAGAAGAGCATGAACAGCAGGTTCTCCGTATTGAATTCGGCCGGATATGTCATAGTGATAATGAACATGGCAACAGCGACTAGCAGCACCGATGGGAAGGCGAAGTAGCGCCAGCCACGTGGCTTTGACAGTGGCGATGGCAGAATGCTGCCCTCGTTTTCATTGATCAGATAGTTGCCCAAGAACAGGTCGATGCCGTCCTGACGTTTACCATCAGCGAAATTGTTTAAATAGTAGCGCATTAGCGAATTCTTGCCATCGTTGACAGCACCCACTTTGGTGCGTTTGCCGGTGCGGGTAAAGTCCGTTTTGAGGGCACCCGTACCGGAATACTGTAGCGAGACAAGATCAGCATTGTCCGCCCAAACGCCCTTAAACAGCGCCTCGAAGCTGGTTGAAGCGTGCTCAACCCGTTGACCCACATGTAGCACACCCAGCTTTTGTAGCACGGCGCTGAGCGAGCGGCGAGCAAGCATGCTCTGCACTACGTTCGTTCTGTCTAGGCAGTCAATGCAGTTTGTACGGAACACGCCCGTTTGCGTGGACACTACGTTGCCATTATCGAAGGCATGATAGAAACCGAAGTTTTCCTGTTCATGGGCGAGACGATCGATCAGAATGTTCAGTCGGTCCCACCGCATTTTCCGGCACTCGTGATGGAAGTCAAAAGCCTCATAGCGCACTCTAGGGTTGCACATCTCGCGAACCAGTCTCGCAAAAGTTGCCTCCAGCTCGCCCTCGGCGCCTTTTTGATCAACTAAATTGACAGCCACCTGCATGCCATAAATGTTCTGCTGTGTATTGAAATGCGCGGTGCATGCCGCCAAATGGTCCTTGCCGGGGATCAGACGCGGCTTTGGCTTATAGCGCAAGTTGGGCAGCTGCTGCCAGTAAAACGGCATGCTGCCACGCGTCTGCACGAAGCTGGTGTGCTGTCCATTGAACTCGACAATCTGTTCCGTTTCCACAAAGTTCGCCACTTGGCCCAAATCGTTGCTGCCACGGCAGAAGAGCCGCGTTCCCGCACGCTCCACGGATCTGCGCGTCACAATGCTCCAGAAGAAGGTTTGCCCGTTTATTTGCACCTGGTTCACCGACACAAAACCGTGCACCAGCGGCAGTTGAAAGCGTTGCATTTTATCACACTTGAACTGCTGTAGCACATAGGAGTTCCACACAAAACGCTTATCCGCACGATCCAGCAGACCCTTCCCCGTCTTCTTGCCCATATTCTCCTGCTGCCGCTGTAGAGTTTGCGTGAGATCGTAACGATAGGAGAAGTAGAAGAACTTGGTATCCAACGTCTGGCGCAACATGCTTAGGTAAGACTGATTCTCTGAGCGTTGAATTGCATTGGGAATGTACGGTATAATATCGTAGCCAGCCAAACGCCACACGATCGCATTGTTGAGGATGCCCACGAAGAGGCGATGGGTGGCCACTATCAGATAGTCACAGCTTAGCAGATGTATTGTGCCCAGTATGCCACATATTCGTCTCGTCGGCATCAGATTGAACAGCTGTGTGGTCTTGGCCTCCACACGTGTCACCTTGTCGAGTCGGCCAATAATCAATAGTTCATCCTGGCCATTTGGTTCGACAATGAAGCACTCCTGCGTTATATACAGATTCATGTCATCGTACACATCGTTGTCGCCCTCCATTCTGCACGTGCACCTAAAGCGTACATAAGTCTGATTAATATGTTCTTGTTGTTGGCCTTAAGTAGCAATAGGTCGGGTTCTT